CTGGAAGGCCGACATTCCAACGTCATCATCGTAAATCGTTCTGGACGACATGTTACCATCTTTTGCGGCCCCAGAACTATTCGCCGGGAGCCTATAGACTTTCTGTCGACCACCAAACAGGTTGTTTCCATCAACAGGCTTCGCGCGGTTCATGACGCTTCCGTTTATGGAGCTAGTATCATCCATGTTGAAGCCATCTAGGCGTGAGATGGAAGGCGTCCTTATCGATTCCACCTCTGCTATATCCTGAAGACCTCCAAGGCCGAAGTCTGTCATCTTTGACATTCCCTTGGGGAAGAGAACGCTATCGTCACTTGCTTTGCCTAGCTTAGATGTGGGGTCATCTTGTTCTCGAAGCATGGAAAAGCGAGCCGACAGGCCTGTCATCAGCAAGCTGGTTCTAAAGTCATTGGTAGAAGGCAAGGCGGTGCTCAGGTCGAGTTCAAGTGTCTTCTCTTCGACCTGGCCTTTCTTCTTGCCAAACATTCGAAATGGGCCCGCGGAATCTGATTCCATGGACGGCCGAACGCTCTCCGCCTCATCCTTCCCCTTCTTCTTGTTTCGGAAGACATTCATCTTGCTTAAAGGGTGTAGGGCACACGGGAACAGGTAGTAAAGTATCGAATCGAGGTAGTTAAGCCGGGAGTGTCGGATATTGCGTCATTCATTCGCCCAATATCTCTAGAGAGATACCGTTCGCGAAACCAGGCTGTTACGATGTTAGCATCAAGCGTATGGCCAGCCAAGATGTATCATATATGTGTTTGTGCAACCCAAGATAGCAATGCTAGAACTCGGGGACAGGCCGAAATAGACAGGCATTACCAACCGAACTATATAGTTACAGCATTGCCATTTGTGCGAATGAAGTTTCCCCCTCCTTTCCTCTCCTCCCTTGATCTTTCTTTTTCTCTCTTGCCATCATACATTGGGGTTGGAATTCTCTGAGAGTCTCAAATGTCTTAGTAAAGAAGTTGTTTCGACGTACCAGATGTTGAACGATAAGCACGACACTAGTTTTGCCAAATCGTCTCGAAAATATCCTTCAGGACAGAAAGAACGAGCGAATGTGTGTATGTGAAAAATAGAACTTCGTTTGGGCAGAGCGAAATGCAACTGATCAATAAATGCTATCGATGCTAAGAGTTATCAAGTCCTCTTAGCTGGTAGAACGGGCCCGCAACGGAAGACGTCGAAGTATTGAATCGTAATCGCGCGATGGCTATCAATGGATAGCGACAACTCAGCCTTGTCACCTCAAGGAGAAGAAGGTTTGCAGAGCTCGAGACCAATAGTTGGGTAAAGGAGTGTCGGGTATCACGATGGAACGGCGAAAGAGAGCATGCTTCGAAACGGCAGAAGTCGGCAAAGGCGTTCGTCGACTGCAGGTACAGAGATCGAAAGGAGCGTGAGGGATGAGATCTCGCTTGCAAGGGGAAAACGACAAGAAAAAAACAAAAGCGGGCAGAGAGCTGGTCTTGAGGCAGCGCCGGAATAGTGAGCGGATGAAGAGGAGAAGAGAAAAAAGAGTGGAGAGAAAACCACGGCAAGGGCAGAAATTGGGATTCTGGACGGCGATGAGAAGAAGGGGCATGGATAATATGGGCAGAAAAAATACGGAGAGCGAGGTAGCGCAGCGCAGCGGCAGCTGAACATGGGGATAGAGCAGCAGTCGTAGCGGTCGTGCCTGGGCCGCTAGCCACTGCCTAGCGCTAATAGCACCGCAGCGCAGGTACAAGTGCCGCTAAAAGACAGCAGCATGCAGCCACGGCAGGGGGTCCGGGCTCAAGCCGCTGGACGTGGTGGCCAGCAGGGGGCCACTAAACTTTTCTTCTTGTTCCGCATCAACGGGCAGTTTGAGATGGCAGACAGCTCTTTGATGGCTTCAGGTCAGCTCCACCACAGCACCCGACCCCTTGCCTGCTGCTCTGAGGCGGCAAGATAGCGGCACTGGAGGCTTCTTCCGCTGTGTCTGGGAGGGCGGGCGTTCCCCTGATTTGTCGACATGGATTGGGCGTGAAACCTGTTGACTCAGCCCTTTTTCGCTATCGCCCTTGCAGTCGACGAGATCAGCAGCAGATGAGCTCTTGAGATTAAGCGGCCAGGGACGTCAGGGTACGCACTAAATATTGTCACTGGTGGCGGCGCCTGGTAAAGTCTTGGGGCAGAAAGTGGCCTGGCGCTAGCATTCTGTGCTCGCGGCACGGCTGGTCCCTCATTACTCCTGCTCCTTCATGCTCTCGTGGTTTTGATATTGCCAATCTCTCAGCCTAACACCAGCTGCAGTGCAACGCCAGCAAGCAAAGAACGCCCGGTTGCATGATTGTCTGCGCCAGATCTGCAAGAGAATTGTGATACTGATCCCGATGCTAATGCTGATATTGTCTCCTGGTCGAACCACATAGCCTAAACCACCACCCGCTAGTGCTCCGACCTGCTCCCACACGACATGGTTCTGGTAGGTTTGGTGATGCGCCCGTTCCACAGCATGCATGCAAGCGATATTCGTCACAGCCATCTCGATTCGAGTTTGCAGCACCGCAGCATCGGCCGCCCAACATGGCAGGAGGCTCGCCGCGAATATAAAGACGTCTGCTCGGGGAACGATCCGTCTGTGGCCAGCATCTGCGTGCCACAAATACTCCTTTGTACATCATTTGCTGCATCAGGCCATGCAATAACCCATCTTGTCGCTCTCAGCGTCTCATTGGTGCGCGGGCAACGCAAGGAGGTACGCACAAGTACGGGGTAATTGAGCCACAGCATTCGCCCTATCCACAGCGAAAGGGATATGGCAGCGAGCGACCAATATCAATTGATAGAGCGGTTCTCTCACTCTCATTCTCCTCCACCGCAAAGCCCGCCGGCGACCGGCATATTATTGACAGGTCGCAAATGCGGTGCTGGACCGGCCACAGGTAGACTAAACTCTAGTCCAGATGCATTGCCTTGTATCTGTTCCAATTACGGGCGGCCTGCTGGCGTCTTTGACGCATTCATGGACTTAGACTTCATGACTGCATACTGTTTACAGCTGCCAGCAGCGGGCATCCATCCCATCTTGTCCAATTCTCGCGACAAAGTTCGTGCTACTGCTACTATCGTTTGCCGCCCAGCATCTCCACTTATTGGGCCAAGGGTTTGGCACCCACATGCATCGGAGCTACATCGCGCATGCAGGTACTCAGATGAGAGATCCTCTGTTCGTTGGCCGTCCGAAACAGCCGAATACCAAGCGATGGCGGCGCCTCGGGACCGTCGGAGCTGGGAACGGTAAAAAGAGTTGTGGAAAGCGGCGCGTCGTGACTTTTCGCTTGCGAGAACCCCCGGATGGCAAAGAGATTGACCGCCTCGCATCATCATCACAAGCTGATGAGCGCTGCTTGTACGCTTATGCCCTCCCGCCGAATGAACTTTGATCAACAAAGTCGCAAAAGATCCTGGCCACGATGCTAGGTAACGGTCCAACGCGAAGCACGTGTAAAGAATATTGGACGAACGACTCCTTGTTCGGTGCGTATCACAATACCGCTCGCAATACTACCCTGCTCGGAACGATACGTGATACTACTCTAGAACACTTTGATATTCGAAATGAGGCTGCAATGTACCACCGTAGGAGTGACATTTTCTATAGTACTATGTATTCTTTTCTTATTTCATTACTCCTCTGCTGACCCACCCACCGCATTGACAGCCAAGCAGTTTCGGTTTTTAATGTTCAAGATTGACGAAGCGACGATCAGTTCGGCCCGCTCATTCGTTCATCGCCATGTCTATTTTGTGGCTGTGCTGGGGAGGATTATCGCCACAACTACCGCCATCAAGAGACATCAGAAGCAAGTTGAGCCTATCAACTATATAGTAGTACGAAAGATCACGGCCTTTGTTCCAACGCCATATTCCTTGCATACGCGACAACTGGAGATATCCTGGAGAAAGGCAAATTACTGGATGGGAGCATGGTCTGATATATGACATTAGTTGGTGGGGTGAGAGCACCTGCTTGGACTAGCCCAAGCCACCAGAATGTGCCACGAAGATCTACTGGTAGGCACATACAATAAGCTCAAACTGCTAGCGGTATTGGGTGCTACCACATCTATAGTAGTCTTTCTGCTATGCAAGCCCTCCGGATGAAGCTACTCGTACCTGTTCAAGACGACAAGGCACCATGGCGTGTTGCCAAAAAACGGTATGCTACGCTACCTAGGAGGGCCTGTATGACTTGGCCGCTCACTAGTGCTCGACCACCAATGCCGATTCTATTTTGACCAACAACATAACGGGGGGGGGCGCACGGTGGAATGGTCATCGGCGCTCGGTTCCCAGTATCCCGCACCCAGCGCAGAGGATGCCCTGGCACAGAACACAAAAACACGGCTTCGTGCATGGGTCACGAGATCATCTGCTTAACGGCCGGGCACAGAAGCGGAGGACTCTGAACCTCATAAGATTAGTTGTCGATTCTTCTCCTATTGCGAGCTCAGGGCTGTGGCAGATACTGTAGCTCGGATAATCTTAAGCGTCCCGAACAGGCCCACGCGAGCCGCAGCCAGGACCAAAAATGCCTAGGTCTGGGCCGAGGCAAATCTCCCCCACAAACATGCTTCATCTATCCGCAGCCTGTAGTGTTTGTGATATCAAAAAGCAACTGCATCATACATGATGATTATCAACGACGGCCAGTGTGATGAATTGCCTTGCCAACACAAGGGGGTCAATGAAAACGAGACAAGACGACATGTTCACCATAGGTGAGTAGGTAACCAGGTCTTCGATTCAAGACAGATACTCCAACTGCCAAGGCTCTGCCCTTTATTTGGTACTTAATCACCCCTCATCAGTTTAATGTTGACTGGTAACTATAGTACCTACAACTAGAGGGTTTAACAACATTGAACTACTGACTCACCGTCACTCAAGAAGCGCTCACACACATTCCATTGCGCAGATATGAATAGGCAAATGCTAATTCAGTTAGAAGCACTTGAAACAGTATGCGCAAACAGTCCGAATTCGACATGAGAGAAATTTTTCAGCAAGGCAAAGCAACTCCTCACAGACACAGCTTGTTCTCAACTTTACGCGGTCCCATACAAAAACACCCCTGACTGAAGCTAAGTCAAGTCCAGCGCCGTCCCCATAAATATATGGGCCAATCAAAGGCCTGTTCCTGACGCTTAACTTGATTTGGAATCCCTTCTCCCCCTGACAAGTGATCCAGGGGCTGCGGAAAGCGACGGTGGGGGGTGCCAGTAACAAGTGCCAGCCTGTTGAAAGCTGTTGAAGTCTAGCGGCCCTTAGCAATGGCAGCCACGCCAGAACTCGAAACACAGCTCGAGGGGCTAGGAGCTGAGAAGAAGCAACGTGATGGCATAAACCGTTCACTCCTATCAACTTCATTCTCAGCTAGGAGAGATGAAAAAGCGACGTCGGCAGGGTTTACACCTTCCTGCAACGCAACAGCCAAACCTGGAGAGATATCGAGAAAGAAATTTCTGCACCACCCAACGAAGACCATGAGTCGCCCGAGCCCATCAAAAAGCTAGTGTCCGGCGCGGCAGCCCAGAAAATGACCAGGTCAGGGCATAAACCCCGTGAGCCAATTCCAGAGAAATGGTCGTTGACAAGGTTAACCTGGTAAAAAGCCACGTTGGCCGAGCCCTCAATGCTGGCCCTGCCAAAGAAGATGCCCGTGGGGACCGGGGATGCTGGTCAGTTATAACACAGCAGCAGTTAGCTGACACGCCGGCTCTTGTGACGGAGGGATTAAGATTCTCTCAATCAAAATATTACAGCCCTGCCAGCAATTTGGTGCGCGTTGGATTTATCCGAGGGAGTCTATGTACGAGAGTTATTGCGCGCCTAGTTTGTACTTTTGCAAGCTTGACTGTCTTATTTGCGGCTGAGAATACGAGCGGATGATACTGATCAGCACCTTCTCAGGTAATAAGCGTCATCTTTACCTGGTATCCATCACGCCCTAAAGATTGAGACAATACGTCATACAAGTCTTGCTAGGCTGATACTACTTGTAGGTAAGAGTTGGTACTCCGTATCGTGAGGCTCCATCCAGCCGCAATTAACACGTCGGTACTCCTGAGCTTTGTTGCTACAGCCAGCATCCCATGATCATACGGCTCGTACTGCCTGCCAACCGCATGCGATCAAGTTCGCAAGAAGCAGTGCAAGTATGCACATCACTTTACAGCGGCTTCCATCTATCTGAGACAACTACTCCCGTCGTGCATTAACCACTTACCCAAGAAGACAATCTTTGGCCGACCAGTAGTAGTCGCAGCTATTCCAGCGCCAAAGTAGCTCGATCGACGATTGATCGAGTTTTCCGGCTCACTTTTATCCACCCATCATCCACTCCCTGCCCGCGCAAACCAAAAGGACACTTACCAGGTACTACTACCACTATATTACGACGGAGTTCTAATATCTGCGATGCGTCGGCGTGGGTACCGCTACCGCTGCTGATGGAGTAGAAGCTCCGCGCGGTTTTCTCCCGAGTTCGCACAAGAATGACTACTACGGGATTGGGAAGCGCTTCGCTCTCAAATTTAGATCTTGAGACTTACTGCTGCTCCTTGGCCACATGAAGAACCGATTCCGTCACGATGCCAGTTGAAGGTTGGAGGCTATAATGACTGCGGTGTCTTCTACTGCTCGATATCTGACAAAGTCTCACACTCTAATTGGCCGCATTCCACCGGTGTATACTACCATCGCCACTACCGCACGCTGTTTCACGCAACAAAGCACCCCATTCGAGACATTCCCGCGTGTCCATCTCTCTGACTGTCCCTGATTCAGCCTAGCAAGAATCACAAGTAAACAATGCCGATGCGGGGTTAGAACGCGTGGTTTTGATGCCCACACTTACATGATCACGCGGTGACACTTAGCCAAAACCTTGTGAGTCAAAAGGTTTCGATAACGACGGATTCATGCCCCTTTGGGGACCCTTTGTTCTTGATTGAGAAATAAACATTTGGTCTCCTGCAACAGCATTGTCTTTGTTTGTTTACTTGTGATATGCTCGTAACTTCTTACAGGCCCAGGAACTTTGATCACTGTGAGTGTTCGCTTGGGTGGTTGATGAATGGCTGTTTTGAGAAGTAAGTTCACGTAAGCACATGTACATATGTTTCCACGCCGCTGATAAGCGACATCTGACTCGTAAGAGCATTCAGTTTAACAACCTCATCTTGATAAATGAAAACTGTTGCACCTCCTTCATAAGCGCCACGCCTTTTCGCTCAACAGAGAAGCATCAGGTATAACAGAGATGTTTCTTCTCACACGAGTTTAAACTAGTAAACCGCCAACTAGCCAACAGACGCACTTTGCGCGCACAAAGCTCCCTCACCAAATCCCATCATCGTAGCGACTTTCCAACTCCAAGAGTGCGCAAGAAATCGCCTCGAGCACCGTAGAAACACCAACGGCTAAGAGAGTGAACCCGGGTATCGTGATTGGTATTCTTATCTCATGGTTGATCCACAGTCAAATATAGCACGCATAAGAAAAAGATTCCCGCTGAGAGCAGCTGTAGGGAGCAACTCGCGCAATACCAAGAGTCCAAAACCTCATGATATTTGGGAAATGGAGAAATGTAGCCCAAAATTCACGGACTTTTTTTTATTTTTTTTCTTTTTCGCATAATCTCTAGCAGTGCATTTAATTTTCGGATCTAGGATTCCTACCCCATCTAACTCCTATCTCCAAATGGAGAGGCGCATAATACTATAATAAGAACAACGAGCGTTCAAAGTATACAAATAAGCATCATCAATTATCAATTTAGATTGAACATAAAGCAAGCAGAGGCACCACTTTCACTAATTCCGTCTTTTTTGCGAGGAGATTAACGATTTAATCCCTACAACTGAGATGAAAGGTAGGTCAGGAGCAGGGTAGCATATTGAGGAGGCTAAGCTAAATTGGCGTCGACTTACAAGACATTGCTGCTGCAAGGCAAACTCAGCCATTTCCCGCCAATTACAAGGGGTTGCCGAACATCATTCATTCATAAAGCACGCCATGCAAGGACAGAAGTTGATAGCTAATGATACTCTAGAACAGCGCAAAATCAGAAATTGATACCCGATGGCGGCATAATTGCATTCAGTATATCAATTGTCATTCATCTTCTAACCTAAAACCTAACATCATAAATCCTTCCTAGCACACATAGTCAACCATCAAGCACCAATTAATCACCATCAAAAGAAATAAAGAAGAATTAGTGTAGTAGTAGCACAAGCAGATTCATGCAAAGCGCTCTCTAAAGAAGGTATATCTATTAAAACCGTTCAAGGATGACTATAGATCCACGGGCCGCCGCATTTTAGACATGAGAGTAAATGCCATCTATAAAATTAAACCAAAGCAAATCCAGTGCATCAGCAGGTATATATGTGCAATATGCCAAATGCCAAATAATCAAAAGAAGAGAAGCGCATTTCCCCATCAACACATGACACGACTTGTTGTTCTTGTACAAGTCATTTCGTAACAAACATCTTCTTTGCATCTTCAACGCATGTCAAATCAAAATAATAACTCCATGAGTATAATGTCTACACCCCACACAGGTAAGATAAAGATAATATATGATGATGAAAAACTTTTTTGTTTTGGAAAGGGAGGGGAGAGTAAAAGTGCGTCATGAAGGCTTTACTCCTTCTTTGTCTTCTTGAGCGACTTCTTCGGCATGCGAGCCAGCCAGTAGACGCCCAAGGCAGCGAAAATGTTGAAGACAATGTATACCCAAATCAGGCCAAAGTTCCTCCATCGCTCAGAGTAGTGGCTGCCAATGCTAGCCAGGTAAGTGTTGGTCTCAGAGATAGAGCAGTAGACACACTCGGTCGTAGAGTCAGGGTTGAGAAGATTGCCTCCAGTAGCGTTGACAAAGGTGGCAAGGTACTTGCCACAGGTTTCACCTGAAGGAGGCTGGATCCTGACAAACTCATTGTCGGCACAGTTGACCACGGTGTTTGCAACTCCAACCGATAACATGCCATTTACCAGATAACTGAATGGCGAGACTCGGTACTGCAATGAGCGTTAGTAAACGTTTCTTATTATACGAAAAGTGGAGGTAGCTTACCATGAAAATCCAGAAGCGAGGCAGGGACGATGAAGTAGCAAGAACACCACAGAAGATCAAGCAGAGCATGAACATCAAGTTGGCAATGTTAGCACCAGCTTCAGCCGTTTCGAAACCGGCAATGATAAAGGTTGAAAAGGTACCGCTGAAGATGAGGAAGCTGAGGATGAAGAGGAACATCAGAGCACCACGCTCATGAACCTCACCAGTTGGTTCGGCGTTGCGATACAAGCCGACAGGGTAGTACCAACAGAAGTACATAATGACGGCCATCAAGCTGTTCCAAGGTAGTTCGACAAAGATCTGAGAGAGCATAAAAACCTTCCATGAATAAACCTTTGAGGGTCGCTCGCGAACTTCGTAGAGAGATCGCTGAATGACAAACTGGGGCATAGATTGCTGAATAAGCTGGCCGAAAATAGTGAAGAGCTGGAAGATTGAAAACATCTGGTTCTGAAGACCCTGTTGAGTGTTTGGAGCCTTGTAAAAGATGAAACCAATGAAGAGCGCAACCAAGGTGCAAAGAGCAGCCTTGGAGTAGATGTAGATGGGAGATCGCCAGTACTGCTGGAAGACACGGAACAAGTTCTCTCTCAACTGGGTCATGAAGGGTGCGGCGAATTCATTGAACTTGGTGGGATCGTCCTCGATTACGCTGACCTCTGCGGACTTCTCTCGCTTGATGTTATCGAGTTCGGCTTGGACGGCTTGGTACTCGGGGCTATCGCGCCAGGTTTCGAACCAGTTGACGTCGGTGTGGGATCCGGGGGCGGCGCCAATGACTTCAAGCATCCATTCAGCAGGGTTGGCTTCAGGCGGGCAAGCGTGACCACCATTTCTCTCGAAATAGCTTGTCAATACCTGTGAGTTTTCACCAATATCACCAAAGTAGACGGTCTTGCCGCCCTTGGCCAAGAAGAGAAGACGATCGAAACGTTGGAAGAGCATGGCAGAAGGCTGGTGGATAGTGCAAAGGACAGCCTGGCCGGCCTTGGTCAGCTTCTCGAGGAGATCCAGAATAGCCCATGAGGTTTGAGAGTCAAGACCAGAAGTGGGTTCGTCGACGAAGAGCAACAAAGGAGGCTTAGCAGCCAGCTCGACACCAATAGTAAGACGCTTACGCTGCTCGACGTTGAGACCTTCACCAGGAACACCAACGATGGCGTCGGCGTACTCTTGCATATCCAGGAGCTTAATAACTTCGTCTACATAGGCAAGCTTCTCTTCGCGAGGAACGTGAGCAGGCTGTCGAAGTAAAGCGGAAAAGTTGAGGGCCTCGCGAACAGTGGTGGTTTGCAGATGCAAGTCTTGCTGTTGAACATAGCCAGTCTTGCGTTGGAAAGAAGCATCACGGGGCCTTCCATCAACAAGCATTTCACCAGTAATGACACCCATAGATGTACGATCAGCCAAGCAGTCCAGAAGAGTTGTCTTTCCGGCACCCGAAACACCCATCAAGGCAGTCAGAGTGCCAGGCTTGACCCAACCATCGACGTTATCCAGAATACGGCGCGTTTCGCTCTTGATCTTGACCTCGTAACAGACATCGTGCCACTGGAAGACGGAGGTTTGTCGTTGGAGCATACCCTCCTTTGTTCGCTCAGACGTCAGAATAGGGCCAATGTTGGCCATGGCAGCCTCGGGATCCTGAGCCTTCTTCTCGGCGTGGACAGCAGCCGTGGGCTTGTGACCGCGTCGGTACATCAAAACTTCTCCCTTGGATTTCTTCTCAGAGACAAGCTCGGCGGAAACCATGTAAGTGAAGAGGAAGAAGATAATGAAGGCAATGACAATACCAAAGTTTCGCCATCGGTGACCCCACTCGTATTGGAAAGCGGAGCCAACGTAGGCGTCACCACTGACATAGAGTTGGCCAGAAACAGCGCCGACGGAGCTGCAAACCTGGTTGGCAGAGCTGACGTTGGAATATTCGGGGAAGTTCTTGGAGGGAATGAAGTCAACACATTCGAATTCACGGTTGTGAAATTCGTTGACAACCAGTGCCTCGAATGCATAACTCAGAGGATCAATATAGCCAATCCAGCGGCACCAGCCTAGCATATACCGGGTTGGCAAAACGAATCCAGTGAAGATGACCAGAGAGAGAATCAAAATGGCAGCGGGGACCAGAGCCTGGAAGAGGGTTCGGGAAGCAGATGCAATCGTTCGGAAGATCATGGACATGACCAAGACGCTAGCGAATGAGATGAGCAGGAAGAAGAAGAAGGGGCCGACTTCTCTTCGCAGGTTAGTCATGAAGTAGAGCGTGATGTTGAAAATGATTGCATTAACCACTTTGTAAGGCAGATCACAGAGCATAGAGGAAATGGCCTCTGCCGAGGGATGGTACAAGGCATATCGAGCGTGCTTTTCAACAATAGGTCGTTGGGCGTACAGAGTCAGAATCTAGTTTGAAACGTTAGTACAAGAGACGTAAGATAGAATCAGCGCGGGAAAATAGGATACATACTTCGAGAGCAGAAGCGAAGGCGTTCATCAGGCAAGCAAAGAAGAGTAGAGATCCTCGTTGGAAGAAGCTAGAGGCATTCTCAGAGAGGTTGTAGTACACACTACCAATGATGAGAGCCATTCCAAAGTTACCGATAAGAGAGCCGATAGTTAAGCTTGGATCTCCCGTCAGGCGCCTCCAGCCGCGCCACAGACAAAGCTGGATCTGCTGTGTATATGACAAGGTGTAAGGAGACTTGGCGCGTTGACCCTTGGCTTGCTGGGCTTGGCGGGAGGCACGGAATGCGTCGGCATCAGGGCCATTGATTGGGTGAGCTTGTTTGTACTCCTCAATCTCAGCCTGCAGCGCCTTGTACTGGGCACTGTTCTTCCAAGCGGCGGCAAACTCGTCAGGGGTTCGGGGCGCCCTGCCTTCCCAGCCGGGACGAACAACACGCTCAATGGGTGAAGTCATCGACGTAAGGAAATCAGGAGTGGTCTGACGAGCAGGGCACTCGAATCCAAGATCAATAAAGTACTGCTTGGCCTCATCACCTCGGCCAAAGAAGATCTGGCGACCCTCGTAAAGCACAACGGCCTTGTCGAACATGTCGTAGGCGCTCTGGGGAGCCTGATAGATGGAGACGCAGGCAGTGCTGTGGAAGAGCTCGGTTTGCAATCGCAGGGTCTTGCAGAACTCGACAGCGTTGGCAGAGTCGAGACCACGGGTCGAGTTATCCCAGCATTGCAGTGGAGCGCCAGATAGGGCAGCTTCAGAGATGGTCACACGCTTGCGCTCACCACCCGATACTCCTCTGATGTACTCGTTGCCAACGCGAGTGTTGACAGTGTGAGAAATACCAAACATGGCCATGACAACATCTCGGAGGTGGGCGGCAAAGTCGTTCCTGCTGAGGCCTTGAGGAAGCTGTCTGGGCTGTCTGGCTCGAGCAGCGAAAGTGAGGGTATCACCAACGCTCAGCTGAGGAAAGTGGACATCGACTTCGGCGGTGTAAATGGCTTCACCACGATGGTGGCTGTGCATTTCCTTGGCAGAAATACCTGTAGGTGTATATTGTTAGCATAATGAACGGCACTGCAGCACAATAATTCGTTTGCTATCCCAAGCCACAGCTTATAACGTGGAGCCAGCGGTGCAGATTAAGGGTCTGACAGGAAACTCGGCCCGCCCTATATCCAGCCACTGGCTTTACATGTCTCATCCACATCCTCTCACAACGACTGACGATGGGGAATATTTACCTTGATAATTGAAGTAGGAATCGTCATCAACATAGATACCATTCATCTCTCCAGCAATAGTCTTCAAGAAGGTCGAACAACCAGATCCCGGAGGGCCAAGCACAACCAGCATCTCGCCCTTGCGGACAATGCCGTCGAATTGACGCAAGATGTCGATGCGCTGCTTGTTGGAGGAGATGAGGCCGCCTGCCCAACCGGCAAGCGAAAGCCAGACGTTTGCGATATCCTTCTGGTAGTCTGTGGACTCGCCAAAACCGTGGACATTGAGGTTCTGGAAGCAGACGCCGGCAGAGCGGAATGAGCCGCCATCCTGCGAGACGAGCCCGACAACGGCCTTGGCCCATTCCTTGCCGCTGAAGTTCTCAGAAGCTGGGTTGAGGGGTGAATCTGGGCCGGCGAGGAAAGGGTTGTCGCCAGCAGCTCCAGAGGCGCGGGAGTATGAGCGGGCCAGAGCCTGGACCACAGAGGCCCGTCGCTGCATCTCCTTGGAGTCATCCACGTAGACCTCATCCTCATCGGCCTCGAGCGTCCGCGACGGCGATTCGCTGTCCTTCTCGTTGAACGTCTCCGTCTTGTCGTCGTGGACCGGTGTCTTGGGCAGGCTGCCAACAATGGCGCCCTGGTCCTTGGCCGTGGCGTCGCTGGGCGTCGCCATGGCTGTGGCTGTGGCTGAACCTCGCGTGCGCAGTGAATTGGAGATTTTGTTTTCCCGTCCTTTTTCTTTTCTGTCTGTGGTTCTCGGCTCTTTTTATGTATGTCTCACAGTGGCGAATGCCGAATGCGTCTAGAAGCCACCGAAATAGAGTCGATGTCTCAAGACCGCGCCTTGCCGTATGCCACGCCGATTACAAAAGATTGACTGGCACACTGGCACAGGAATTAAAAGAAGGATAAGAGAAGAAAAAGGGCCAACTCCAAGAATGAAGCTGAGCGTAGGGAGCCCAGGTGCAGGAAGAGAAAAGAGGATTTTAGCTTCCTTTTGATGGATTAGGCACTCGAGTCCAACAACTGGCGCAAGGGTCACGAAATCCGCAGTCCGGGTGCAGTCCGACCCGTGAAAGTCCAGCCCCATTTCTTCCGCCATTGACCAAAAGGCCTGCCTTGTTCTCCGTAGTGAGTCCGCAAAACTCCACCCGCAGAGGGGCCTCTACGCAGAAGACCCAAGCCTTAATTTGGGGGGGGCATCCATCGCTGTAGCGTCCACTGCAGAGAGCGCCAAAACGCTGGGCGGTCCGTCCCTCCACAGAAGCGCGGCAGCCCTTCCATCGCCACAGCGCATGGGTCCAATGTTTCTTCGAACAGCCCAACACCTATGAGCACATAAGAAGTAAGAACGCAGCGTCTAGCGAGGCCCAGTCCGCTACGAGTTAGGGGGTGGCCTCGGAGTACTCCGGACCTGGTTAGAGCTGACCTTTATACGCGTATCGAAGGGGCCACTTGTTCGCCGTTGCAGACGAATTTCCTGCGCATGCGAGCGGATTACGAGCATGATACATCCCTTATGCTGTGAGGTGAGCGTAAATCGAGCTGCGTGCTCTCTCGGTGCGGTTGCATTCCGGGCGACCAAGATCACGATCTCGCGTGCGTATCGCCGAGCGCAGGGCGCTTTGTCTGATGTGCTCACGATCACGATATGACGCCAAAAGACGCTACTTGTCAACGACTCAAGATGTACACATCATTGATTCGATCCCCTACCGAGGTACTATGGACATGCTACGTAGCAGTCAGCTCCTACTGCCAACCCCGTACTCGTACAGCAGCGCATTTTCTCGCCATACCGCTCATCTTGATGCTTTTGGGTCGTCGTATCGCCAGCCACTGGCTCCAGCCATACGCGTATGAGCAACTCGTCCAACCATGCCCCGTCGTTCACTGAGCGAATGGACCAATCCGCCGGACGGATTCATTCGCCGACAGGGTCCCACGAGCCAATCTCGAGTACGATTGGCTGGCCTGGCACAACGCCTCAGCCCGCAAAGCCTCGTCGCCCGGGGCGCTGTCGGGTTTTAGCAACGACCCGACACCCCGCCACAAGATAAAGTACAGAGTACGTGTACCGAGCCGCGCCACAAGGCATTGAGTTGTTACAGATCACATACGTGCGCGTGCAGACACGGGACCAGCGCAGCGCAAGGGGTCGATATGGAGTGATTTTCAGGCGGTAGGACGCAGCAGTAGCGGTATCATGATATCCCATATACAAGCACTCACTTACAGAGCGGTGTACTGGTGACCAGGAAGAGCTTATACCTAAAGAGGCTTTTTGAATCCTTTCAGATGCATGTTGGGTGGAAATTATTGACACTGACCATTGACTCCTTACTTCTACACTGCCTCTACGCAGTAATATTAAATAGTATATTCTACTACTACTTCTAGAAGTATACAGGTCAAGCGTAGAGATCGCCAAGCCCTTCCAACTGAAGACGAGGAGACATACGGATGATTGATAGCGGATGCTTGTCCCAAGCTTCAACCCCTTGGGACCGTCTAGTCGCCAAGATTAGCGTATCGATCCATAGCTGGTTCCATACAAGAGGTACATACAGGTAGGCCTACGTATTCGCGTCAAAGGCTGAGATAGCTTTTCATCCCTCCGCAAAGGATTATCATCCCTGAAAGTCTTTATTTCCGATAATAGAGCTGCCAACGCTGCTGCTGCTGCTGCTGCTGCTGCTTGTAGTAGTACTATGGCTACACTCACACGCTGCTGACTTATGCTTTTATTTTAAACTCCATCTAAAATTTGCTGCCGTTTCAGTGGCGCTGAGCTTCATTCGGGGTACGGATCGAGCTCACGGACCCGGATAGGACCCCGATACGTGATGTGATTTAGATGAAGAGGTGCTAGTAGTACATACTAGCTTTTACACTCCGCAATAACTGCAGATCTGCTGGCCACAGACGGTCAATGTCTCAGACGTTACTTTCAAAAGTCTGGGGTGTTATTTTCGTTCGGACTCGCAATCGAAAGGAAGTCCATGTAGGCCGAAGTCCTTGACTGAAAATCGTGTCGTCACCACCCACAGTGCCCTTATCTATATACTTAAGAGGAGTATCCAGAAATGGTAGTAAAAGCAACCCTCCTGAGTGAGCCCTCTTTATACGAGGTATGAGAACCAAGCATCATCGGCTGTCGCTGTGAACTGTGATCTCCAATTTAAGTACTACTAGTTGATTAATTACGAGTCACTATTTCGTCTAGCATACTCAAGGATGCTTGCCAAGCTGTTGCCTATCAGCTTGATAATACAAAACGCTGCTTGCTACCTAGTAGACATCGGAAAAAGTTGCGGCCTCATCCATCGTAATGCCCCTCTCGCCCCAGCATCCGACCGCAAAATAAACCCCATAATAACACATGTAGTAAGTAAGTATCTATACTTGCGTGGTCGATATATGCCTGAAGTAAGTATTTTTTATACCGCTACGTCTATATATCAGCCTGCGAGCCCCTTTTCATATCTCCCTATTTGCTACGACAGCCAGCCATGCCCCCAGATCACCAAACTGGGGAACTCTTTTCCGCAACGTGCTTCCGCAGGTACATTTTCCGCTCCGCATCTCAAATAGGAATGCCAACTTGTAGATATGGCTCTATACTCCGTCAATATTTTACGTGTAAGGATGCTATTCCATAGCATCAATTTCAGACAACACAAAACTATCACCATAGAACTGGAATAACTGTTAATAAGTATTGTCAAATCCTGACAATTATAGGTGTTTTTGATGGAATATTTGATCCATTTGCGATATATTTGCATGCTAGTGCCTAAAGCCCCCTCATCAAGCAGCTGACTCTTTGCTGAGAAGAGGACTAAGTCACAGCCAAGTCTGGAACTGGACTATGGTAAAGCACCCATGCGGCCAATGGCAGTCTGTTAACAGTATATAAGCGCTGCGGAAAGTTGTAGTCACCATAAATACGAATAAGCAAAAAGAGGACTCGGTGGTTGATTGATTTACTGCTATACTCTACGTTCGACTGATCGCTTTGGGGCTTGATGGAATGAGCTTTTCGCTTCATAGATTTAGTATTAGTACCCAATTGTGTGACATCAATTGTACGTTTCACGAAAATGCGAGACCAATAAACTGCTCGTTGTCAGATTAAGTTGTTGAAAACTGAATCTATCACTTTGGTCGCTTTGTATCATTCTATGAAATATCGAAATGAAATAAGTGGGATATATATTCAGCGGTTGATATTCTCAACAACCAGCCGTCTCAACTACTTTTACTACATACAGATCTATCGTGTTTTGTGGTTGTCCAGCGCGGCATCTTACAAAAAGTTGATGCCTACTCCCAGCTGCACCCCCTTTGTGACGAGCTCTCCCCTTCTGACTATCACCGGCAAGCCAAAGTTGAGTTCAAATCTCGCCACGGGATGGGCGTACACAAGCCCAACACCGGCTGCAAAACTGGGGGGCCCGTTGAATAGCTCTCCAACAGCATCAAGCATACCATTACGAACCATTGCACCACTTAGCCCGTCGGACGTGCCCTCAGACTTTAGCTTGTTCTTCAGGGCAACCAGACGACCTCCGTTTGCAAAGAGCTGAAATCGGAGGCCAGAATCAGGCCCCTTGTAGGGTAAGGGAAAGAGCATGTTGACACTGCCAGCAGCGAACGCATCTCCACCCACGGCATCCCGGCCATCGTGCGGTCCTAGTCCACCAAGCTTAAAGCTACGAATGTCCGTTGGCCCTCCGAGCAAGAAACGGTCGTTAAGACGGCTGGGCAGAGCTTTGCCACCAAAATTGTATCCAAGCGGCAATGGGTAGAGCAGGCCCGTTCTGAATCCGGCTCCAATAGAGATTCCCGAGGGTCCTTTAACACCAGGGAGAGGAATAGGGACGGCACCACTGATTTCCAAGTCGCCCTTGGAAAAGGCAACATCGCCACTCAGAGGCCCAACGCCAGCTAGTTCTAGGCCAGTTCGTATCATATAGCCACTTTGCGGAAGCTGAGGGTTGTCTCGCCTCTCCCTGTAGAACACATGCTTGATGGCGCTCTTGATCGTATCGCCAGCATCTTGTCTGATAGTAGGGCTAGCATCAGCCGTAAGGCCCGTAATCTGTCGCCATGATCCTGAATACTCGACAGAGTGTGTATCTCGTTGGCGGTTAAGCCATGAAAAGCGCACCGTACCTCCTTTCAAGACTTCCTCGTGCGACGCCCAGGGCTTTTCCACGGCTGAAGACAGCGCCTCCAACGAAATGCGCATATCTGGGTTGCTGAGTACGGGAGCACTTAGATTTGCGCTGTAGGCGGAACGTGTACGAGTGCCTGCCTTTGCATTGAGCGTGAGCATTTCAGCTCCGCCAAACATGTTCCGCCATAGCAAAGAACCGTATGCAGACCCCTCGCCATTTCCAACATCCGTGCCCGTTTGAAGCTTGAATCGGGGTAGCTCGCGTAATCCGATGGAAATGTCCACATCAGTAGGACTTGTCGAAGCATCGACCTGACTCGATTGGGACAGGTAGACCTGTGGAGGCTCTCTCAGGATTTCTGGTTGTCTCTATCAGCAGCTGTCTCAAGATGATGCCCCGCTCGTCGTTCTTACGCAGTCCACTGAGCTTCCCAGTTGCTATCTGCAGCCTCGATAGCACCTCGCCAACGGTATACGGAGGATCTTGGCTATCACTCAGTAAGGGATTCAGTATAGGATCGAGAAAGCCCCGCCGAATGTTCTTGGCCCCCGTGACCGAAACCTCATTGACGGTCATTGGCATTGACATTTGATCCACCATCTTCAAGCACGGTCAGTCGAGGCTGCATCTTCTTCGGTAGACAAGGTTCGGCAGTACCAATTGAGATATCCTCTGCTCCTTGGCCTCATCCTCGGCGCTTTGAAACTCCGGCCTCGCTCTCGCATCGCGGAGCACGTCCTCAGTACCCTCGTGCAGTTTACCAAAATGATTTGCGGGCTCGAGAAGCTGTCAGCTGCCGTACCTTGCCAGCTTGTCCCATCCAGTGCTTACCGGCCGCCCAGAAGATTCTGAGGTTGGCGCCATTGTTCAGCGCCTGTCGATCAAGTCAGCGCATGCAATTGCAATCGGAAGATTTGACCTTGGCTAGCCTGGCTCGATTCGGGAGGGTCATCCTTGCGCAGCCGAGCTCGAACATGTGGCGCAACCTACAGCACCAGCCACATGGATCCCAAAGTCTAACTAACATGTGGCAAAACAGGCACTGTACACGCACTAACGCTACGTACTCCATAGCCGCCGGCGCTCTTCTGTTCAGCGAGGCGAAGCCCCCGAGCGCCAGGCTGGAGACACTCGGCCTAATAAACCTCGTTTCATCATCGTTCGTCGTAATAATTGTCCGTGTCCTCGTTTATCAGTACCACTTTAATTCCATCAACGTCAACCCTTTTCTTCCCGCCGGCGTCGCTGTATTCGTTTCTAGACTTTCGATTTCCGACTGGTCCTTTTCTCTCTTTTCCGATAGCAGCCCGATTCGTTCGACGGAGACTTGCGCACGCGATCGCTTCGAAACGCTCTTTAATCCTGAACTTCAACCCGACTGTCCTTCTCTGTTCTCGCAACTGCGACCATGGCCAGCAAAGCTGCCCAAAAACGGGTTTGTCTTCGCCTCAAGCCAGGAATCTTGGTTGATACATGCACGCTAACTGTCGAGTCCAGTTAACGCGAGAGTACAAGACCATTTCCGAGAACCCTCCTCCTTATATCACCGCCCATCCTTCCGAAGCCAATATTCTCGAGTACGTCGCTCCCCATTTCTGTGGATTCCGAACCGACTCTGACATTGAAACGCAGATGGCATTATATAATTACCGGCCCTGAAGACACTCCCTACCACGGGGGACAGTATTGGGGAACACTCGTCTTCCCTCCGAACTACCCGTTTGCGCCTCCTGCGATTCGCATGCATACCCCATCGGGGCGATTCCAGCCATCGACCAGACTTTGCCTTTCCATATCCGATTTCCACCCAAAATCTTTCAATCCAGCATGGGAAGTCTCGACCATCTTGATCGGCCTTTTATCGTTTATGACTAGTGACGAGATGACTACCGGTTCTGTCTCGACATCCAGCGCCGAGCGAAAATTCCTTGCTTCACGATCGCGATGGTGGAATTCTACCGGCGGCGGCTCACAAGCGAAGGGAACTTACGCTACAAAGGGCAACGTCAAGGCTGGTGATGGAGGCGCCAAGTTCCGCTCAGAGTGGCCAGAGGTGGACGCTGAGAACTGGGAGTGGATGAGGAAAAACAAGATAGACGCAGCCACTGGCGCAAAACCTGACGGTGACAATGGTGCCTCTTGCGGACCACAGCTGGGAATTGCCGGATCTAGCGGTAACCAGGCCCAGGCTGTGGTAGATGCTGTCGTCCAACAGCGGGACGCTGGGCGCGGCTGGCTCTTTCGGAACAAGTTGCTGGTTGCTGGTGCAGCGATATTCATCTACGTACTCATTGCGAGGCTGGTGAGTGGTAACGAAACCTTGGCATAATGCTCTAGGGTTTGGAAATTTGGAGTGTCAGAAGATATCCTCCACGATTCAGCGCGAATACAGCGCGGGTTATACAGGTAATACATGAGACCGCAATCGGCAGTTTAAAGAATGGCGTTCTAGGTTGCGATTGGTAAATTAGTAGTAATTGAATTTTATTTCATCTTTTTTCTAAATTGCAGATAGCTGTATTGGGTATGAAGAGACGAGTTTTGGGATTGTGCTTTGGGCTTCGACCTCATCACTCTATTCCATCGCCAACCCATGTTCAACTAGGAGGATCAGCAACAACAGCATTAGCAGCTGAGCTGCAGGCGAGGATAAGGCGATATTTGCCTATATTCAGCCAATACATGATTTACGGCATGATCTACCATCACCTAAAGTAAGTCAGGCATGCATGGCATCGAGTCCATGCCCAGAGGGGTGTGACTAGTTTTTGCTTAGGCACTTTGAGATCTAATGAATCAGATAAGGTGGTGAGTGATTCATCGCTGCGTGCCAGCTCGCCTTCACGGCAACATACATGCTATCCACCGATTCACAGCAGAAAAGAGGCAATTTGTAAACACACAGTAATACTGCATATACTCTGTAACATCAAGCAGCATGCAGGCTGGACCCGACATTCACCCGCGTCCAGATGCCTAGCAGCGGCTGTCTCACCCAGTATTAGTCGTAGCGGCAGGTGCGCGTGTATGAGGTGCAGCCTCTGCGGGGAGGGAGGAAAAAAAAATTCAGTGCTCTTTGATGCATGTCCGATTTAGTGTCATCACTGAAAGACCTTGTTACATAACAAACTCCTCTTTCAGCTGCCTTCTCTCTCCCATCCACTGCCACTGACGCCAGCGCTGCTTCTGCCTCTCGCCCACGGCGACGATTTCTGGCATTGACCAGCGCAGTCTCCCATGACGGGACTCATGCCTCTTTGCCGAAGCCTCCAGAGTTGTCTTCCAGGTCTGGCGCGCGGGCGATTGGAAATCCAGGGCCGACCCTGCCCCTCGCCGACCTGCGAATTTTAGAACGAGGCTCCAGGCTCTCAGCCCACTTCCGCCTCGCCCTGCGACCCATCAACAGATTCGACGTGCTGGCCCTTCGACCGCCACCATGGCCCCTTCCAGCAAAGCGGCCAAGGCTCGCAGACCTGCTGTCGTGTCCAGCAAGCCGGTGCCCAAGCCTGCGATTCCTCTGCCCTATGTCAAACGCCAGGCTGCGGCCGCAGCGGCAGCGGCAGCGGCAGCAGCTCCCGTGACTGCACTGCCCTCGCTCAACAACACCAAGCCAGATGATCGAAAGGGCACTCTTGGCGTGCAGGCAAACGACGCGGATCAATCCTCCTCGCCTACCTTGATCGCAAACTCGGTTCATGCCAGCGAGTCGCTGCCAGACAGCAGCAGCCAGGAGGGGAAATCTGCCACCCAGACGGATCTAAGCTCGCAGAGCGCTGAGGGTAAGTTGTCTGCATGATTAATGCTCCATGGACGAGAAGGAGAAGGAGACTGCATCATGCATCCCTCTGCTCGTTCCCTCTTTTGTGCGCTTGATCAAGACCTGTCGGCTAACGTTGGAGTTATAGCTATTGACACGTCCAAGGAAGTTCATTCCGCTGCTGTCAACAAGCCCGGCGCCACTGCAGACCACGTTGCTGGTCAAGGTGGACCTTCGACCAACTACGCCGTGCAGCCACCAAATCTAGGAGCCTCTGCTGCTCCAACTGTTCAAGAAATCTCTTCTGGGCTGCAGGTCCAGCATCACGATCCAGCGATGGCCCCAGCCCAGGGCGAGGCCAGACACAACCCAGGTAAGCTTTATTCTTGTTATATACCAGCTCATTGAGCTTGAAAGCTGATCGTCATGCTCTCTCATAGCCCAGTACCCCCCGGTGAAGCTTGTTTCCTCTCAGCCTCCTCCGCCGGTGTCTCCAACTCGGTACCAGATGCCGCCACCCTTCCAACCGGCCCACCCTTCAATGGGCATCGCAGCGAACGGAGATTTGTCTCGTGGCCCCAGGCATCCTTTGCCAAATGGCCCCCTTCATATGCATCAAGCTCACCCTAGCAATGGCAGTATTCACTTTGGAGTCTATCACGATTCCCAGAGCTCCTCACCGGCTCCACCTCACTCTGGAGGCATTGTTCCACCTCCTGGTATGCCCATGCCCGACGGACGCCCACATCCCATGATGCCTCACAATGGAAGTGGATTCCCGCCAATGGTGCCATATATGACCGACATGATGCCTGTTGCCAATTTTGACGGCTATGGCCGGCCGATTGCGTATGCGCCGATGGAATCGTACCACCAATACGGCAATGCGCTGGGCCAGTCAACACCGCTCAGCTTCCATGACTCCCAGTCTTCGGCTCACGCTGAAGAAGCTGCCATGTATAACCAGTATCGTACTGGGCCTCTACCCAACGGCGCTACTGCTGGGCCGGGCGACGAAGCTCAAGCTCAAAATCAACCGGGGAGAGCGTTCAGGCCACCAGATTATTCCCAAATGATGCCCAACCACGGCCTACCTCCTCATATGGCACAGGGCGACGATGCCGATGGACTTTTGGGCTACTTGCAGCAGCAATTTGCCTCACCTGAATTTGCCGATTGCACTTTGGAGCTTCGGTACACCGACGACAGGGCTGCGCCTGTGCGAATTCCTGGTCATAAGCTTATATTCGCCCGCAGCTCCCATCTTTTCAATCTTCTGCAGACTCAAGCTTTTCAATCGTCTCCCAACGACAGATCGCTGCAAACCATTCTCATTGAGACAGGCAGTAAATGGATCCGCTCGGATTCTTTCTACATGGCTGTTCAGCGTCTGTACGGACTACCACGATTCCAAGCTCCCCCGCCTCCTCCTCAACGCGTGGGTATGGAATCGGGCGACGTGATTGCAGCTGGATCAATCAATGAGCAGATTGGCTTTGCCATCTCGTACGCTGCTGCCGGCCAGTTACTCACTTGGCCCTCGGTTGTTCGACGCGGCTGTGAGATTGCCACCCATCTCCTGAGCTGGGAGACCTTGGAAACAGTTTTGGAGTTTGCACTCGACGGATATCAAGACAAGGGCTCTCATGACGTCTACAAGTACGAGAGTGGGTCTCCGATTCTTCTCAGTGCCATTGTCACGTTTATCGTTCACAATTTCCCCTCTCACTTCAATTTTGATACCGAAGCTGTGGAACTTGCACCTTACAGCAGGTTCCCAATCAACCCACCGCCGCTGGCCAAGGCCTCTTCTGGCGATAGAGAGATGCTCTCAGCACCTACTGAGGGATCCCACGTCCAACTTGGAAAGGGACGTCGCCCTCAAAAGATCAATGGTATCCAGTTTGGTGATTTGTCCTTTTCAGAAGGAAAGAACTTGGCGGACGCAAACACTCCCAGGGCGGCCCGAGCCGCGCAGCCAATCTCGGTTTCGATATTGTCCAGAGTTCTATTGGAAATCCCATTCCGCCAACTGAAGAGGATCCTGGAATCCTCTGGGTCCGGTAACGTGAACGGCTGGGCAAATGCCGAGTCTCGCTATCGCATCATTAAGATTGCTGTTGAGGAGCGTGAATCACGTCGCCGTCGAGTTCTGGAAGCCGTTGTGTCCGGAGAAGTTCCCGATGCAGATTCGATCCGACAGGGCCTCTGTAGCCCCGAACCAAGGGATCTTGGCTGGTGGACTGCCCTTGGATGGCAGGAAGAGCTTCTACCATATGGCAATCCGGATGGACCTACCTTGGCTCGCAAGTGGGTTCCCCTGGTTGGTCTCCAGAATGGCCCCATTTCCAACATTCCCGAGTATCCATGATGATCTCGTTGATTTAGTTTGATGACTGACCACGAGTCTCTCGACGAGTTGACGAATCTTATTGAGCATTTGGCGTTATAGCTCATTCAAAAAAAGTTCTTAGGTTTGACCTTTTGCATTGCAAAGGGCTTTTTACCCGTTTTTACCTTTTGTTTTTGAACATTGGCGTGCATTGGTGCTTTCGTTGCAACATTAAGATTACCGACAGGTTATTTTTGCTTTTGTGGAAAAGCTTCAGGTGGGTCGTGGAGGTTAGGATTGGGACTGCCTCTCCAAAGGTGGTCATTCATCAGAGGTGCCCTCTTCGAACCGTCTTGCGGGAGGAAAGCAGGTGTGGCAGGAGAGATTTAACTGGGAGTGCAGAACTGGGAAAGGAATGGGCGAAATGGGATATTGGCATTAAAAAGAAAACAAAAGGTTGCCTTTAATCAGAGGCATATGATGAACATTGATGATTTAAAAAGCAGCCACTTCTCAAAGAAGTGGCCAGATAATGCGGAATGGATATTGCGCTGTTGCGACTGCTTGCTTGATACAAGAGCAAATGGCTGGGAGGGATGGACAAAAAGGCTGGTGGCTTGGTTCGAATCTTGGTTGCGATAACAGGTAGTTTATAATAGGTAGTTTAGACATGTGAGGATATATTAGACATGGCCTCTCAAAATCTTTGATGGAGACGAAAACGTGACATATATGTAAGATATTTCAAGGGGGTCCAAACCCCCTGGCTAGTAAGCCTTTCAAATATACCAGATGGATGGAATGAGGCTCACTAACCAGCAGCGAGAAGCATACGAATAATACCCCCAAATGCAGTAACCATCTCCGCGACTCTTATTTGTGCTCTTATGTATACTTTGATTTGTTGATAAATGAGGTTGGTGATACAACGAGTGCACTTATTTGCCTGATGGGAATCTGAGAAGACGCCCATCAACTGTCATTCCCATTCACTTTAAATACGGCAAAGCTAAATTTAACGCAAAATGTTGGCGCCGTAGAGGCCGTCCTAGTCGCAAAGTCATCAATCAAATAATGGGGAACCCCACCACTAAGACTTGAAGGGTAGCGGTACTTTGTGCAGGTGCACTGGCTGTGACGTCCACATGTTGCCGTGCTGCCGAGGCTCTTTCTGGCGCCTCCCCCAGTATTCCATTCGCTCCAGTAGATGCACGGGCGGGCTTCTGTAACTTTTTGTCCATCTTGATTCGAGAAGCTGGCTTGGCGATAGCCTCATCCTGGGCTGTTCTCTGGGGAATACGCCGGACGAATAGAGCGAGACACAGGGAGCCAGAGATTACGCGCAGCTGCTTTGCTGCCCCTTTGCATCGCGCCCTTGGGCAGCAACATACCTATCTTTCTTGTCGGCGGTTGTGCCACAGACTCGTGGTAAAGGGCATCTATCTTTATGGATGTAACTTGCCTCTAGAGATTTCGCTATAGATCCGGCTCCAGCTCTCGAGCCCCAGCTGCTGCCAGGCTTCAATTCACAGGCTACGACCGACCGACATTTACAGTCACTACGACGACGACCAATACTCCGCCCCCAATGGCATCATCATCACCACCGCCGTCTCCTGGCGGAAAGGCTGTCGCGTCCACCACCGGCTCTTCCGCCGGGCCAGACCCGGTTCTGCGCAATGCCCTGCGATACACCATCTCGCCGCGCGAGTATGCGGCCCTGCACAGATACGTGCTCTCGAAGTCGCGGGCGCTCCGCCGCGCGACGCCCAGCCCGAGCAGCGTGGAGAAGGCGCTGCAGCCGCGGAAGGGAGGCGACGACTACAATGCCAAGGCGGTGCGGCATTCGCTGCGCGTGTTTACGGCGACGTGGATAGGCATGAAGGCGTGGGACGCAATCATGAAGAGGCTTGGGAACAAAGAGTGAGTCTTCTTTTTTTTTTTGGCTGGTAGCGTGAGGATGGCACTGACGGAAACTCTTGCAGACCAGGCGGCAGTGGCCAGAAGAAGCCGTTTTACAAGTCTCCAGCTCTGAGGCTGTCCCTCTCGCTGTCGACAATCTTATTCCTCTACCGTGTTCTGTTCCGCTTCCTCACCAGACTGCGTGCCCATCTCTTGGATCCGCAGGCAGAGCCCTTCCGGCTGCGCAACCCACGGACGTCGGCAACGCTGACATCGCCTTTTGCGCCGGCCATTGGAGCCTCGCTTGCGGGTCTGGCTCTCGGCGCCTATCCGTCGTCGCAGATGCGAGTCAGTATCGGCATCTATGCCATGTTCCGCGCTCTCGAGTTTGGCTGGAACGTCTGTGAGAAGGAGGGCATGATTTGGGGCATCAAGAATGGCAAGAATCGAGAGCGGCCTTGGTGGTTTGGTAGCTGGATGCTGCAGCCGTTTGCGTTTGGACAGTTGCTCCATGCTGCTGTTTTTGACCCGGACTGCTTCCCGACTGTATGTTTCTTCCATCTTTTGACTGATGATAACATGCGTTGATACTGACGATTTATTAGTCCTTCGGAGACTGGATCTTCAAACATTCCGCTACGTACCTGCCCCCGCGGCCAGAAAACTATCCTACGGCCCTCAAATGGCCAGGCGCTTCGCAGATATTGGAGAATATTGCAGAGATGGCTCGACTTAACTGGCCGTAAGTGGAATCTTGGTTCTCTCTATCTGTGTCCTACTGAACTAACATATCCTAGACCCAACGTATCTCCCATCCTATTCCCCAACAAAGAAGTCCTTCCACCTTCACTTGCTGGCGTATCGCCGCTGAGTTCACAGGCTCATCCACTTATTACCTCTCTGTCCTGCGCAACTCTTCACCCAACCGACCCATCTTGTCTACGAACATACCTAACCTTTTGGCTCAACTCCTTCCCAACAATGACTCGCTTCTTCCTCATCTTTTACTCCGCGTTGACCCTTGTCCCCAAGTTCCGCGACCTGTACAACTTCCCCTTCTCCACCATTCAGCGGATGATATCTCAGGTGCTGCGCCTCTCTACCTTTGCTACCGGAGCCATCTCTACAGCATGGGCATCGCTTTGCTTTTTCCAGCAATATCTACCCCGCCACGTTCTTGCCACCCAGCGTATCTTCCTCGGAGGCTTCTTCGCGGGTATGTGGGCTTGGGTGGAGCGTCGCCATGGCCGCAGCGTGTTCTTGTACTCTGCGCGGGCCAGTGTCGACAGCCTGTGGAAGGTTGGCGTGAAGCGCCGCTGGTGGAAGGCGATGAAGGGCGGGGATGTGTGGGTGTTTGTCCTTGCGCTGGCGATTTCAGGCGTTGTGTACGAACGCGATGCCAGGGCTATTCGAGAGGGTCAGTGGCGTAAGGGTATTAGTTGGTTGCGGGGCGAGGGGTGGAAGGACTGGGCTTTGGAGGAGGACGGTGAGGAGGAAGAGGGTGAGGAGAAGGACAAGGATGAGTAAGACATGAAAGAAGGAAAAGAACAGAAGAACATTTCTCAAGCTGGGATGTTGCCGGGTTGAAATCATGGTGTAGGCGATTGTGTACGATTTTGGAGGAGCTGTAACGTATTTGGCGTTGGGAGGTGGATTCGGATTCGATTTTAATTAGGGAGGCCGGCGGTTTTGTTATATTAGGTCTCATGTTAGAAAGACACATGTAGACGAGGCGTTGTCAATGGGCGAGTTTCCTTCGAGATGTTCAGTGATACGTTTTATCGTGTCTGGATATTCTATGGGATATCCTCATGGGAATCTAAAGGTGAAAGCTGTCATGCAATGCAAAGAATCATCATGCAAAGGTTTAATTCAAATTGTCTCATTCTAGTGATCGCTAATATCCTACAAAACCACCCCACTATAATATATAAACACTCATGCTCATCATTCCCCTCAAGCCATACGTTTAAGCTGCTCCAAGGATTTCTCAAGATGAAGCATTAAAAACACCCTTCGTGTGATTCTTTTTCTCTTCCTTTCTTTCATTCATTAACCCCTTTTACTCGGCGAGGTGGCTTCTCACCTCCTTGTCAGCCGGCTTCGTCCAGTGCGCCTTGACGCCGCCCCAGCTCTCCTCGCTATATCCCTCCTGGACCTTCTTGCACGTCCGCAGTCCCCAGTCAGTTACGCCAACCATGAGGCTGCTCTCAAACATAAAGGCACAGCTGCCACCGCCAACCTTGACCGGCGCCAGCTGGGCATCGCGTGCGCCCTCGTAGCTCTCGGCGTCCGGGCCGTGGCCGCTCATGACGTTGTGCAGACTCGCGCCGCCGGGCACGAAGCCGCCCGCCCCGCCGCGCTTGGCGTCGTAGCCGCCGCAGATGAGGCCCATGAACTCGCTCATGGTGTTGCGGTGGTACCAGGGCGGGCGGAAGGTGTCCTCGCCGACGAGCCAGCGCGGCGGGAAGATGACAAAGTCGGCCACGGCGGTGCCGGCGATGGGCGACGGCGCCGAGAGCACCGTGAAGATGGACGGGTCCGGGTGGTCGTAGGAGATTGTGCCGATGGTGTTGAAGCGGCCCAGGTCGTACTTGTAGGGGTAGTAGTTGCCGTGCCAGGCGACGACGTCAAAGGGCGTGTGCGCCTGGCGCGTCTCGAAGAGCGAGTTGTTCATCTTGACGGTGATGGTGAAGGAGTTGCTGCCCTCGTGGGCGGTCGCGCCAAAGTCCTCGCTGAAGTGAGCGACTGGTGCCTGGAAGTCGCGTGCGTTGGCCAGGCCGTTGGAGCCGATGGGGCCCAGCTCGGGGAGGACGAAGTGGCCTTGGTACAGCTCCAGGGCGTAGCCTCTGGCCGGGCCGGAGATGTTCACCTGGTACTTGACGCCGCGGGGGATGACGGCGATCTCCATGGGCCGCACCAGCAGCCAGCCAAACTCGGTGCGGATGTTGAGGTCGCCCTCCTGTGGAACAATCAGGAGGTCACCATCAGCGGAGTAAAAGGCCGAGTTGGCGTCCATGCTCTTCCCGGCGGCATAGACGAGCATCCCCAGCCCTTGCTTGAGCGTGGCATCGCCCGCGCCGGCCACGAGCCGCATGCCCGAGACAAAGTCGAGGTCACGCGCCTCATTGTGGTCAAAGGGGTCCCATCGCAGCTGGTTGGGGATGTAGCGCAGCTTGGAGATGTCGGCGTCCTTTTGCTCGGCGCGGGTTGGCTCGGCGGAGGGCTGGTAGGGCGGATGCGCGCACGAGGGCAGGATGCGATACAGCCAGGCCTGCTTGTTCTCGTGGCGGGGCGCGGTGAAGGCGGTTCCGGAGAGCTTCTCTGCGTAGAGGCCGTAGGGGGGCTTTTGGGGGGAGTTTTGGGCGATGGGGAGGGCGCCTTGGACGGCTTCGGATCTGGGGGAGTTGGAATGGCGGTTAGTTTGGAGCTTCACGGTGGATGATGCAAAGCAGAAGAACATACTCTAAGTGGTTGTCGAATCCATTCTGGTATTTGTATAGCTCCTTTGTAGCAAACACTGTAGCAGGCATGATGGCGATCAATAGTCTTTTCAGCGTCTGTTGGATTCAATTCAATTCACCAAGACAGCCGGCTTTTTAAGAAGAAGAAGTGAAGTTGGAGTATCATTTATATCAGACAAACTTGATAAGGAAATACAAAAAAAAAGAGCTAAAAGACCAAGACACCACCACTGCCGAACCTACACAATGTCGGCATATTTTGCCTAGTATCTGATGGCGATGTCTCTCTGCTTTCGAGCAATGACGAGCACCCATAAGAGCTTGTCTGGGAGCTTTGCGCCACGGTTGAGGGTTCCGGTTCCGATTCCGCCCCGAGTCCGACGGTTTCTGTCGGATCTTGGTGGCATGATGGCAGTTGAGAGATGTATGACAAAAATATGTCTGCAGTAGTATGGCTAAAGGCTTCAGCTTAATGCACAGTCTTTGTGTCCTCTCTGCTCCCGTCGATAATCGACAAAACCCCGCTGTTCCCCGCGTCTCCATATCCGGAACGGTTCCGTCGAGAGCGGCGGGCTGGCTAAAGCCGAGAGCAGCCCCGGCTTAGCTCAGCGAGCTTATTGCCCGTTTGACATTATATTAGGTCTTTTATTAGAAGCTTGTGAGATTGGCTTAATCGGAGTGAAGGCCTTGTGCGAGTTCTATATAGGTGCCGAACCATACATTTTGTAGTATTCTGTGCCTGACTAAGGCTTAGGTACATGTATATACAGACATTGCAGCCCATTCCCACCTCAACAAATCCAAATCAGTGCACATCTAAGTCATAGCTAGCGAATCCCCTTCCCATTGGCTCCGTCCCAGCCTTCCTTATTGTCCCCCATATATTGACGGTCAGACACCTTGTCCAAAGATGCGTAGTGTAGAAGAGGTGAAAGTGGTATAGGATAGCGTGAACGATGGCAGCCTTTCAAAAACAGCATTCAGCTTTGACAAGAATCCAGCTGTTTTGACGAGTTGGCGTTTGAGAGTAGAGTAATGTTGATTGTGACCAATATTTTCTCTTTGTTGAAGTACGAGTGTTGCTGTGAAAAGTACAATTAGCTGCATGATCCACTGCGGTGTGTGAGCGGCAGCCCTACGAGATCGGACTAACCAATCTGGCGTAAAATACTTGCGCTTCTAGGACCTGTTTGCATCCGTACAGCAGCCAGTTGCCTCATCAGCAGGATATGAAACCCCGGACAAGACCTGTGGCGATGCCTTGATGGGAACCAACATTCCAATCACTGCACTGACGCAGGTTTGTCCGGGGTTTCATACTCTGCTGAATAAGCCCAATTGGCTTCTGAATAAATAGATGTATGCTAATGTTGTACAAAATCAAAAGGTTTCAGTCACAGAGTGCTGCTCTTCTGTTTATATATGCAGACGGCGAGGATGCTAGTCGGCCTCAGGCTGCGAATATAATTGTTGGGGGCGCACGCATATTACGCGATGTAGCACTCGAGCCCTGCACAAGACAGCCGGTACATATACTGCAATGACATGGCGCTTCCTTAGAGGTCCAGCACAATTGTCTAGACCTTTCCTTGTGTTGCATTCACCTTGCATACGCATTTGATGGGCTTGCTGCACAACCAATAGCACGGGTTCGTGTTAACGCGGCCTGCCCATTGTCCTCTCCGGATTGGTAGATGCTACAATTCGGCCTTGTTTTACGAAACAGCAATTACAGTATGGTGCATACAGAAAGCATTTGCGACGCATTCTCGCGTGTTGAGGATGAAATGTGTTGCGAGGTGTTTGGACCATGGTGTTCCCACTGCCGTTTTAAGTAGACTAGCTGCTACCGCCTCTGCAGTAGCACTGCAACCGGACGCCGGGAACAGCTACCCGACCACTGTTGGGCGAATGGAATCTGGGCAGTTCGTGTCATGCATGGGACTTGTTACATTATTTCTCCGCTTTCACCGAAATTGAACGTACGCTTGGTTTGGCTTCTAGGCCTGGTGTGCTTGAGTTGCGCCAGTGTTGAATCTCATCCATTTTTTTGTAAACCTCCGTTCCATACACAGCACCGCCCTACTCACTCCATGTCCCATTTAGTTACACATTTCCTGTAAGATCCAACATGAACAATCCATCTTCCCATCATAAAGTCCGCACACAAATAGCATCATCACTTTGTCGGTCGGATTCGACGCCCGTTTCCTCCTATTCAAAAGGTCAGCCAAGGAGGAATGGAAATATTGGTTCCCTTAGCTGCCTCACTCTTATTGCTTCCAACGCCTTTAATTCCATACCTAAAACCTATGTTTAGTGAGAACTCTCTAAGAAAATGAACATAGAGAAGATAAAGGGGCAGATGACTCACCGTGCTACCAGCATATCAACGAATGATTGATATACATTGCATTTCTTCCCTTTCCCTTCCTTTCCTTTCCTTTCCTTCTTTCAGGTGCCTTCGCAATCAGCTTCTTGCCATCGAGTGCATGAACCCATGTTATTCAGGCTTCTAATTACCTCGCGCTTTTCCAACTTGTGCTTTATTCCTGCGCCTTTTGACCGCTGGTGGTGAGGCGATTTGATGCGTAGAGGTTCTTCGGATATGCGTACGTACTATGAACGGATTCCGTCTTATTCGCTATTCGTTACATTTCTGGTCTTCAAGATGAATATCCAGCCCAAGCACACAGTATTCCCTCGCTGTTCTTAAAGGCATGATTGTTGAGAATAAAGGGATTTTAAAAACAAAAAAAGAAAAAAAAAATAGAAATAGCGGAGTGAAAAAGAGCGGTTTGGCAAGAAATAGAAGGGTTTAAACGTTTCGACTTCGTTTGCTGGGCCGTAGGATGAATATCAGGCAATTTCGTGGTGAAAGAAAGGCGCATGTGCACTTCGCAAGTTATCGTAGAGGGGAGTGCCAGTGTATACTTCGAGGGTCGTCATGGTTAAGAATAAGAGAAGGGGGGGGGATTTGGACGAAGAGCTCAGAAGAACTATTTATGGCCGAAATACAGCATTCCAGACGTAGGCTCAGTGGGAAATCTCATTCATATATCGAGAATCGGCCGGGGGTAGTTTTTGATATACTGACGGCACAGCAGTATTAGCGACTTTTTCGTAGGCAGTCCAGTATCAAGGGCATCATACAGCATTTGCCGGGGCAAGTAAAATATAATTTCATCTTCTTAATCGGGTGCATCTATCGCTTCGATTTTTGCATGGAGCATCTTCAATGACCGGTTTCGCAGAATGGGCGGGCTCTCTTCGTGTAAGCGGTCGACATGGCGCATCGGCAGGATCCGAAGGTATTGTGAAGTTGCGTGCAGGTACTATGGTAAGTATAATGCAGTAGTATCGCAATGTTATTCCTCCATGGTCTTCTATTTCCCGTTTAAAAGGCGTATTATTTTTCGTTAGATTCTCGAGCTTGTATCGCCGAAATACGTAGATAGGTATTCTTTGATCAGACGCCGTCTATTCGTGGAGAGGTACTCTCGATTCGTTTGGTAAGAAAATTCCTTGAAGACATCGTCAAGGGCATGTGATGGAATTGCGAAAGGCCTAGAATCGACTACTGTTCCGGTTCTTGCGTCGTCGGGGCAATGTCTAACCTATTAATCAGTCATATGAACATTGCCATCCGCGTAATGTCGCAGGCGTGCTGTGGAACCGCCAGGACATCGCCGACATCCACCTTGGGGGGATCCATTCATGCATGATATTGCCAGTTCACGAAAAACACAACAGAGACCAATTGATGACGATATTAGCGCAGATAAAGACGAGTGAATGGTGCTATTCGGAGCGGTTCGGTATTGCGTATCGTCGACCGAAAAACGGTGTCCGGTGGCAAGATTGCAAAGGGTACAGGGTAGCTGACGGTCGGTTCATCTGTAAGCACGAAGACATCGCGGGGCAGTTTCGCTGAATAGTTCACGAGTGGATTGGGGTGCTATCGCAGAGCATAACGGCAGAGTCACGGTTTAAAATCGAGAGTAACGATAGGTCGTCATCGGTTTAATGGGTATATGGCGATTCGTATCACTTCAAACATTAGTATGCTATACTTGTAGGTATGCGTACTGGGGAAAAATAAGCAGTAGAGGAAGGTTTCGGGTTTCCCCCATCTTCGTCCCTTGCGTCTATCTAGTCATGCAATAAGGAAAATCATGCGCTTGGTTCATAGTGTTTGGAGATTATCGCAACGAGGATTGCGAGTTTCGGAGTGACTCTCGAAATCGAATCGCAGGGGCAGTCATGCGTGCGAGGGTTTCATCATGCGGTGGTCTCGTTCAATTGAGTTGCCATCCGAATCGAGGCACCGGTCGCCATGACGATGGGCTCGAGTTATATTCCCTCTTGTTTCGGCTCAATGGAGCGGCGCTTCTTCACCCGTGGCCTGTACGTGTGCTGACCTCTGGCGGCAAAACACGCGATGCATCGTGCTATGAGGCCCACAGCGGGGCTCGGTGTACAGCCCGAGAGTCCCGCTGTAGAGCCAGTGTCCATTACGGGGCCGTCCGTACGAGAACGTTGGTCGTGTGAGAGGGTCTATTCATCGATACACGCTCGATTTTGGATTCAAAAAGAAAACGCAGTTATTGCACGATGGGAAGATGAACGAGAAGAGTTGGATATATACCAGATGCTGGGTGGCGAGGGCATTTTGGCCTGCGTGCTCCAGCCCCCGACCACGAGACTCGTCTCCTCCTCTTCAGCCGGTGCGGAGTAAAACGATGCTTGCGTTTCGTTTGGCACGCACTGGTCTGTCCCCTGACCTCAGACAAGCCAATCATCAGGTCATTGCTCATCTAAGCCTAGACGAGTAGTAAATGGGTTGCTGCAGCACAGTCCGGAAACGACGCGGTTGGGGAGCTCGGCCAATGTCATTGGACGGGATATACGGGATGGAGGGCGAGTACGTCACTTATTGTTCGAGACGTGCAATGGTTCAGAGGTACCGGATACCTTGGATCGAGCAGTGTGGGCGCGCTGCCATCAAGTACCCGCTCCACCCGGAGAGATCGGCCGGTGAGGGGCAAGGGGGCGCTCTAGTCACATTGGATGTTCATTCACTCATTCGCATCCCCAATCACACGGCAACGGCTCAGCAGAAATTGGCAGAAAAAGAGTGCGAAAAAACGTCTTTTTCATCAGCTAAAACTCGATGCACGGCAAAGCTCATCACGTCCCCCTTGCGCAAGGTCTTTTTTTCTCTTGAACCGGCACTCGCAGGGCAGTGGGGCGCTTCCCCAGATTCTTCCCCGGATTCTGGTGGATTTAGTGCAGGGTCGCCGTGCTAAGCCTAATCGGGTACCACAGTGACCTGCACGCAGCCAGCATCGCCAGTGGTATCATTGTCACGCGATCCGCTCGCATTCCCGGCCTGGGAGAAGGAAGGCACTTACCCCGCCCGGGCTGCGTAAGGGGCAACAGCGATGCTCTGCTCCTGCTGTCGGAAGCGAGTGTGACGGTGCCTAGCAAGCCAACCAAGCCTGACTCTTGCCGGCCTTTATGAAGCCACTCCTTCCCCTCTCTCCAACCTTCTCCTCTTTCCTTCCTCTCTTCTCTCTATCAGTACAATCATATACATCTCGTCTCGTCTTCTTTGATCAAACAGGTAAACCCATCTCCTACTTCCTTTTGACGACGTTTCATGCATTGCATCTCACACGAACCACTCACAGCTCTCGGATCTCATCGGATCCCACAACCATCATGTCTGAACCTCTCACCAAGGTCGATTCCGCCGTCCAAGGCCTGTCATCATCACCGCCCAAAGAGAAGGGTCACCGAAGAACCAGCTCTAGTGCGGCTGGTGTAATGACCATCCACGAAATCAGTGAGTTGTCCTGCCATTGTAATCGCTGTTGATGACCAATTGCTTACACCGTGGACAGATGAAAGCCATGCACCTCTGAAGCTGGCTTTGGAGACACAGCAGACGGCCTGGTATGTTCGCACTGTCCGATTGCGGAACCAATCCTTCCCTTTGTCTTATAACGTCAACTAACACATATCACAGGAAAATAAATCAACGGCCAAAGGATCTTGACAATGATCAACTGCTCATGGTTCCTCTAACAGCACCTCCTATCAAGAGCATAACATTAAGATTCCCGCATGGCAAAGAGGTCGTGGCACGAAACATGAAGGGCCTGACAATAGGTGACGCATTGTCGGCCATCCACAAGGCAAACAAGAACAGAGTAAGCTCCTGAGACTTTATCTCATTATATTTCATTCTGGCGTTGTGGCTAATCATACTTGCTTGCAGGCTGATGATGAGCTGGATAACCCGTACCTCAAGGGTTTCGCATGGGATGAAGGCGAAAGCTACTTTGAAGTTCACCTGCAAAGCCAGCCTGCAACGGGCATGTCAAGCGGCGGCGGCGGCGGCAAGAAGAAGAAGAAGAACAAGGACGCTGACGAGTAAATACCCATCCACCCATCCTAATATCTGTTCCAATAGCTCCTTGAATTGTTTTTTGTTTGGCTTCGCTTAGTTCGATGCGAGTCGGCGCCCGGGATATTGCAACTAGATGTTGTTGGTCGGGTCATGATGATGCGAATGCTGGATGCATCGCTTATTACGGCAATTACTTTCACGAAAGGAGTGCACGCACTCTTAATGTATAACTGAAACTTTTACCACAATTTACCAGGATTTACCTGATATTACTCTGATTTCTTTGATTCTACTCCTAGTGTGCTTGTGAATTGTGACCAGTACTGCCTCTTGGAGGTAGATTTGATGTGCAGCTTTTGGTAAAACACTTTTGAAGTGAGCTTTTTTGGCCAGGCCAGCTTCCCCTCTTCTCGTGTCGATTGATGCGGGGTTGGAAAGCGATCGACAGAAGAATAGTAGGACGGCAGCAGCCACATTGACGCCTGTGATGCACATCTCCAGGGACGGTCCAATGGAGAGAAGGTATTGCGCCGCCGATGAGCATTTGGCGGTATGAAGCTCCAATTTCCTTTTATTTGCAATGCACTTACTGTTATTACATAAGATACTTATGCCTATGTCGAAGATTCTGCTATACCTTGTTTTGTGGAAGACGATGCCAGCTCCGTAGGTTGAACGCATGCATGGAGCACTTACTGATTTGAGACAACTGCGGCACGAGCTACCCATTCAGCGCCAAAACAAGTCCGTTTCGCCTCTTGTACCCGTGACAGAGATGAGTATCAATATTAATACGCTGTATGATATTGACAATACACCGGGAAAGATATCCTCAGGCATCCATGCCACCTCATTTCGATAAGAAACGTCGATTATCTGAGTCTTTTGTGGGTGATCGTCGATGTGGGTGGGCTATTGATAGCAGTTCCAATTAACCCCCACCGAGGGCTGAACTGAATTTGAGGCCAAAAGGGGGGGGACAAAAGCAATATTATATAGATTGAGAGGTGAGTCTTTATTTATAGCCTCCCGAAAAGAGGATTGGTCATACTAATCATTGATATAGGTAGGTGGTGCATTATCATGTTATATCATGGGACTTGTACCCGAGCTGGATCTCGACCCGCGCAGTACGTAACCGCCGGGTCAGCCACCCACTCGCTGTTTTTCGCATTCGCATTTTGCGGTTCGGATTGCCAGGTCAGCATGCGCAAGCAGATGATTGGTTGTTTAATATTTTCTTGCCTCAATCAAAGCATCGTAATCTGAGCACGTTGGGTCTCGAATGGATTACCTGGCCTGGCGGGGGTGGTCACCCGAGAACGCGCAGCTTGTTGCGGCGATATCCTAGCAGCGGGAACAAAAGCTCCATCGAATACGCTTACAGGAAATGAAAACGGGAACTCATGAGTCGTGGCCTCGTTTCGCCTGTAGGGAAAAAGTTCCAATGTGAATTAATACGTCTCGGCGTATTGTTGTTCCTGGCATGAAAGATATTACTGAGAGCGCAAAAAGACAATAGCAGAACTGTGTGGCAAGCGGGTAGCCGCCTTTTACTTAGTTTGGAAATGGGACGCGCAATGCTTTCGAAAGCTTACAACGTCAGCTACGCAACGCTTTTCATTGCCTGCTCAGCTTGATGCGGCCCCTAAAAAACTCGCAATCGTTTTTTTCCAAACCCACATCTTATAAATAAAATGGCAGTGGAAATTTCATTGGGCCAGACTTTTGCGTGGAAGAGGATTCTGGATCAACTTTCTCTTACATGAAGGGGGATTGGTCAAGCTTAAATGTTCAGCTTCTCATCCCTGTGGTGATCCCCATCCTATACTGTACTGCTTTTTCTTCTTGTTAAAACCGCATGCACGATACGTGTACGGGGAGTATCGTTTTGTGTGAGAATACCACTATATCATCTCTTCACATCCTCCCCTCTAGCCATGATCAGACATGCCACCTCCGCCTGGCTGTCCTGAAACCCTTAGGATACCAGGGACAGGCTTCGTTCCTCTGCCCGCCGCGCCGATCAAGCCGCCGATACCACCGTTCCCGACCAACTTCAGACAGGAAGCAAAGAACATCGAAGTCCGGCTGCCACCCCTGGTTGCGGGGGCGCTGGTTGCCGCCTTTGCCAAGGCCCTGGCCGACGGGTTGAGCAACGAGCTGCTCAGCCACTACTATTTTCCGGACCGGAGGATCCAGGTCAACCTCGATCGAGTGCTCGACCGGCTCATATCCGTCTTTGTGCGGCAGCTGTGGGACGAGCTCTTCTTGTTCTATCACGATCCCGACCACGGCGGTGGCCCGCAGCTCTCTCGCCAGGTCAGCCTGCTGTTTGATGGGCCGATCCGGCAGCTCGTTCTCGTGCTGAATGGCCCTGAGACGGCCAGATGCATCCTTGACAAGCTCGGCCCGGGGCTGTCTAAGAGGCCGGTGACCTGGTCGACTAACACCAAGGGCATTGACTTCCCGCTGGCTCTGCAACTGCTGTGCGGCTTCTGGCATCGAGAGTTTGTCGAGCAGTCGCCGGGAGGAAACCCGGACGAGATTGCGCGGGCGCTTCATACACTTATAACGACGGGCAATGCCGCCAAGAATCTCATCAATGAGATGAGAAGAGTGCTGCTGTCTCCACATTTTGTTCAGATCCACTTTGCCGAGTCGGCCATCTGGGATATCGTGCTGAGACGGCCTGGTCCTCCGCCTCCAGATGGCTTTCACATTGTGCAGTTCAAGTACGAGTGCCAGCTATTCGATCCCCAGGCCAATTTTGGCGACCTTTCCCATCTTCGCTTGGGATCTTTACCTGTAGTGACAGGCACTTCTACCGAGCATAACTGCACGACTGTCTTGGAATACACTGAGAAGCAGTGGCCGAAATGCGGATCGATTATCCTGGGCTGTATAGAGGAGGCACGTAAAAATGCAACATCCTCACTCCTGCGAGGCGATGATTTCTCCGGAATGCACGTCTGGGACGGCAGTGACGGCAAAGGCGCGCACTGCCCTGGCCTGCGATTCATTCACATCGAGACTGAGGGCTCGTGGATCAGAATGAGCGTCAGCGCCTGGATGCATACCCTGATTGAAGTGTTTCAGCAAATGTCCTGGTTCTGCGCGGCCTTGAGCACATCGCCGTTCCAGGGGTCCGTGGCCGAGAGCACGACAGACGTGTCCAACTGGACGTATTTGGACGGCAATGTCTATATTGATTGCAGTTTGAATCACACCCCCATCTTGGAGGGCGAAAGCGTGCCGTGGCTGCAGTACCTGCCGCGTACTGCGATTGCGAGCGGCTTTCCTTTACATGAAGGATCGTCGGAAGCATTGATGACGATGTGAAAGCTACATAGCGTTGTTTTTTTTATTCGCAAAACATCATTGATACCAAAAGAGTATGGATATGATGAGAGAAAAGTATGGTATAAACATCTAGACAGGAAGTTTAATGATACCCCCTTTTGTATGTTATTGTATAGCTGCATATATTTTTGTTTGCTTGTTCAAGGCTCATACAATCCTCTTGCTCGCTGGCCCGTGAGGAGCTCTGCCTCGCCGTCCTCCTTCACCAAATAAATATCTTCATGCCTAACTCCAAATTTGCCTTCTAAATAGATTCCCGGCTCGTTGGTAAATGTCATCCCGGGCTGTAGAAGCGCAGCTGTGTTCCACTTGTTCAGGTACGGCGACTCGTGCGCTTTAATGCCAATGCCATGTCCGAGGCGATGCGTGAATCCATACCCATATCCTGCATCTTCAATGACTGTTCGCGCAGCAATGTCAACGCTGGCAGCAGTGTTGTTTGGCTTCATGGCCCCAACTGCAGCGGTTTGCGCTTCCAAGACGATTTGCCAGACTTTTTCCTTTTCTGCTCGTAGAGGATCCGCAGAGTAAGATGATGATGGCGCATCGATCAGGAAGCTACGGCATATATCGGACGAGTAACCGAGATAATGGGCACCAACGTCAATGACAACCATGGAGTCATACGTGAGCTTCTTCCCGCCGGTGACGAACCCCCCATGAGGCAGGGCGCCATGCTCCTCAAAGAGGACAATGTCGAAGAAGAGGCTGAAGCCAACAGAGAGCAACGTCTTGTCCAGGATGGAAGTGACGTCGTCTTCAGTCAGGCCCGGCACGAGGCACGGCCGCATGGCCCTCACGGCGGCCACGGTGCCGGTATTGACGGCCCTGAGGAGCGCGACCTCGGCAGCGGACTTTTGCTGTCTCACGAGCTCGGCTTCGGGGGTGAGGCCGACGGTGCGGAAACCGTTGGCGTCGAGACCGCGGACAATGAAGTCGCGCATTTCTTCGTCTACCATGAGCGTGGGGACCTCAATGTCCTTGAAGAGTCTTGACTCGAGCAGTGTTGTGTATGGGTTCCAGTGCTCTTCCCAGATGACGATGTCCAGCTCCTCCTCAAGAGACGGGATGCCCAGCATACGCACACGGCCCTCTTCAAAATGCGGCGAGAGAAAGGCCGTCTTTGCAGAGATTTTGCCATCGTCGGATGAAATCTGCGGCATGATGAGCATGAGAAAGGGGCGCTCTTCAGGCTCCCACGGTTCCCAATCGACCTGAGAGATGTTACCGTAGTACTGGAACGTGTAGCCCGGTTCGAGCACAAAGGCGTCTACTTTGTTGCGGGCGAGGGCCTGTGCGAGACGGTCTCTGCGTTGGAGGAATTCATCTGCTTGGATGGGGTGCGCGTTGTCGAGGAAGGAGAGGTCGGATTTGAAGTTTGTGATGGAGCATTTTTGGACTTTGGCGATGTTTGGGTGGTGGGTGTGGTGGCTGCAAAGGGATGATGGAAGAAGAGTGTTTTTATAGAGGAGAAAGGTGCCGAGGAAGAAGAGAGTCGTGAAGAATGAGATGCGGAATCGTGACCTTGCGGATAAGTGCTGACGATGTGATGTTTTTATTGTCGGTGGCGATGTTATTGGCAGCGCTGTGCCCTTTTCGTCCTTGATAGACTGGTAGTTATGCATCATGCCTATATTGATTTCCTGGCATCGAGATGGCAAACAGCGACAAGAATTATTCCATTAAATCACATCTAATCGTGAGATTTCACGCAGCTAGTGTGAAGATACTTATCGTCTTGAATACCTTGCCCGAGAGTTGGTGTCTGAACTAAAAGATCGCGAGCTCCCTAATAGAGATACGATTATCTCGGGGAACTTGAACCCACTTGGTTTTCACTTGGCAGCTTATAGCTGTTATCTTCAAGCCAATCGTAAATGACGTATCCCTGTTTACTGTGAATTTAGCGTTGTGTATTGATAGGTCAAGTTGACGTTCAACGCCGTTTAATGTGGGATTCTATATGCGGGGGATATTTTAGCACGAGTGCCGGCATCATGCACGGGAATAATATCCATTGCTTTGCTGCTAACATACGATAAAAGAGCTCGCATAAACTTTTATTAGGCGCCCTATCGTATTTATCTGTATCTGTCTTGAAACATAGATCGTCAAGTGCGGGGAATCGGGTTCCATCTTTGAATGCAGCCACGGACCGGCCAACTTGTTTAGGAAAGCATTCATAACGGCTCCTCGTTTAAACCAAAAGTTGGCCGCTTTCTTGGTTAAGGAATACGGTTTTGTACGAAGAATGAATGTTCAATCTATGAGACATCAGAGTAAGAACTGAATCATTAGAAACGTGGGAATAATCTCGGCCAACACTAGTATCCTTAGCTATCACCGCTTTGATGAGAGATGTCACTCTAACGCGCCGTCTTGACAAGCAAGCAACCGTGTTCTCGCCGATCTCTGCTACTTACCCGGATAGCGTATCTTGATGAAGATGCCCTGTAGTTTAAGCGTTACATTCGAGGAAGCAAGGCGCGCAAGTGTTGGAATAGGGTGAAAAAGAAAGATAAGTGCATGTAACCCTACATGCACTCCATTTCCCGACCCCCTCTTCATGTAAGTCATTCCTCACGTGGGTATAGATCAACGCAAAGCCCACGTAAAGGTGTCGCATTTTCTTCAGTTTATTGAGACCCAGACTATGGCCATGGCTGTAGACTCAAACGACCACGAGGCTTCAAAGCCAGAAACGGCACCGCCGAGTGTTGATGTTGAGACTGCTGCCAAGTCTGAGGCTATTGAAACGGTAAAAGACGAGACGCAAGTCGAACAGAGCAAAGATGGCGTCGACGTCGAGACGGGCAGTGTAGCCGAGTCTGTCAAAGGATATTACAGCAAAGCTTCAGTCTGGCTGATGGTTCTCTTTTCTGGCCTGGCAATTGGATCAGATGGCTAGTAAGACCAATTTCATCCTCCCATTCTTCACTTTCACCAAGACTCAGCACCTAACTTTCAAACTCATAGCAATGCCGCCGTGATAGGCAACGTCGAGCTTCTTCTCGGCGTCATCTACCCCGACGCCCTGACCAGCTCCATCTATTCGCGCCTCAGCAACGCTTTCCTCATCGGCATGATCATCGGCATGCTCTTCTTCGGCGTCATCGTCGACCAGCTCGGCCGCAAGACCGGTGCCGTGGCCACGACCATCCTGCTCGTCCTCGGAATCGCCTTGTCTGCCGCCGCCAATGGCACATCTCCAAATGGCCTGTTATGGATGCTCATCGTCGCCCGAGGCGTTGCCGGCGTGGGTGCTGGAGGCGAGTATCCCGTGTCTGGCGCCGGTGCCGTCGAAGCTACCGACGAGAGCGGCGCGTATCGCAAGAGACGCGGCTTCATGTTTGCCATGCTGGCTGATCTTTCTTCTGATCTTGGCTACGTCTGGGGCGGGCTGGTGCCTCTGTTGTTGCTGCTGTGCGTCGGGCAGAGAGAGGACAAGTATGGCATTGTCTGGCGGACGTCTTTTGCGCTGGGGGCGATTCCGCCTCTGGGCATCTTTTGGTTCCGGATGCGCATGGCTGTTGCTACGGCCTATCGGAAATCTGCCATGAGAAAGCAACGAGTGCCGTACTGGTTGGCGTTGAAGCGGTACTATCGACCGCTGATTGGATCTGCAGCCAGTTGGTTCCTGTATAATTGGATTTCAATTCCCTTTGGGATATTCAGCTCGACAATCATCAGCCGAGTCAACACGGAGCAGAGCCTTGTAAAGTCTCTTGGATGGGGCGTCCTCATCAACTGCTTCTACGTGCCTGGACCCTTTTTGGGCGGCTATCTGTCTGACAAGATTGGGAGGCGGCAGACAATGGCGCTCGGTTTCAGTCTGCAGGCCATACTCGGATTCATCATTGGAGGGGCGATTGGTCCTATTCAGACTGTGTTTCCGCTCTTTGTGGTGCTGTATGGGATATTCTTGACGCTTGGTGAAGTGGGACCTGGAAGGTATGTTTACTGCTGCTTGATACTTGACTCAACTCCAACTTCTAATCCTCGTCACTTGCACAATCAACTCTCCCGTTACCACTTGAATGTTAAATCGACTAACTACTTTACAGCACCGTGGTTCTGACCGCATCCGAATGCTTCCCCACCTCCATCCGTGGCCAAATGATGGGCCTGATCAGCGCCTGCAGCAAAGCTGGCGCCGCCATTGGCACCCAAGTCTTTACAGCGATCCTCAACAAGTACGCCAGCAACCCCGACAAGGGAAACCAGGTGGCGTTTCTCATCGGGTCTGCGTTTGCGGTGCTTGGCGCCCTCGTGGCCTTTTTCGTCATCCCTGACGTGTCCCGCCGGCTGGAGGACGATGACGCGGCTTGGAAGGTGTATTTGGCGGATCACGGGTGGGAGGCTACGTGGGGGGATAAAGAGACCAGAGATCCTACGGGAGTGGTTTTGGATCGTCAAGCGGACTGAGAGTTGGGGGATAACTCCGTGACGTGGAAGTTGATGGATGGCAATCCTGGAGTGGGAGAATGAACGTCTGATATAGCCAAGTTTCAATTTAGTGTCTACCTAGTTCCTAATTCCATAGGTGCAATGTGTATGTGCCGCATGCCTAGGGACTTTCATCTGTCTTTCAAGTCAGATATCAAAGCATTTTAAGAAACGTACTAAGGAATATAGACAATACTCTACATTGTAGCAAGATGTGGTGAAGCTTTTGGCGGTGTAATTGCAGCACTTACTATCATAATTTTGACTATATTGCTGCCAAAGAAACATCTCCTTTTCATGATTAAGTAAGGTAGCAAGCTTTATAATTGCAACCCATGTGTAGTGTATATGAATACCTTGCTTCACGTTACTTCAAGAGGCGCCCAGTGTGGTTTTTCAGACATGGGTTTTGCCGTAATTCGTAATCAAACATATGAGCTCTTTATAGCAAATTAACCCCTCTTTTCAAGTGGAAATCGACTTTCAAGCTTACACCACACACGTGTGCTCAATGGCGGCCACCAAAACCCCCCAAGAGAGCCTCCTTGAGCTGTGGGAATCTATTCCCGACGACCTACGCCCTAGTGGGCCCTATTCATTCGACGCTCTATCCCGGTCGATTGCTTCTCTTGTTGATAAAGCCCAAACAGGCTCACAATGCGGACACAAAGATGAGCTGGCCAATGCTCTTGGAGATATTCGGACGGCCAATGGATCCTGGCCAGAAATGCTAAAGCTCGCCTGGCGGCACGCATGGCGATGCTCATAAAAAGAACTTAGAGGCGACATGCCGGCACCTTTTACTGGAACTACCCTGGCTATCAACGATGGAAAGCCCAAATAAAGAGTTGGGCCATTTTAAATGAAACTGCACCAGGCAATGTAGTCGCTGCTACTGTCCTGCGCAACATCTCTGGCCGCGCCAAACGATGGGCACGATCCAAGGAGCTTCGCCAGTACTCTGTAATCGACGGGGGCGCCTGTATCTGCTGCAGCTACGATAGAAACCATTTTGAAAGACATGGACAGAGTAATCTTTGGGTTCGAGGCCGAATATCGAGCATATAAAAGGGTGGAACGTGCTCGTCAGGGAAAGTGGACTGTTTTTGATTATAATATCTATTACTTGACCCTAGTCCTTGAACTTGGCCACGACCCTGAGTCTTCGCATTGGACCTATCAACACATTGACAGTCTGCGCAGCGGCAGTTTCCAAAAAAATTACGCCTATGGCAGCTGGAAAATGATATGAGAAACGAGCAGTCTGTTTTGAAGGAGTGCATGAAACGGGCTGCCGCCTAGGAACCCAATCACCTACCCTCCAAAGGAAGACGTCGGCGAAGGAATTAGACAAGGTATATAAGGAGCTGGTAGCCGGTATAAAAGAGCCATAGCAAACATTGACAAATCGAGCATTAACTTGATCCTTGATCACGATTTGAAGAGCTAATTCACAGCCTTGCAAATGTTCTATCGCAGCCTAGACCTCTTTTTCCATTAAGGGCACTGAACTTGAACTTGGCTGAACTCACTACTAGAATGTAAGAAGACAAAATAATTGAAAATTTTGAAGCCTAGGTAACTGATTCAAAATATAAATCTGTAGAAATAAGAACCTCTTCTCTTTCTTCCGCGTGGAGCAGAACCTGCAAACGGCCGGACTTACCCATTCTCTGTCACTTTTGGTTCACTCTCAATTCACAACCTATTGTGCGTATTAGATTAATTCTTCAGACCAAAATCAGACAATTCGTAATCTTGCAACACTTTCCTTGTCACTGTTCTGCTTTGCTCAATTTTTCTTTTCTTGGAACATACAACAAACACCAACTTCACTTGCTCACTGAATTTTACATTCAGATATGCTGACAACCTTCTACGGCAACCGTTTACATCATTTCTGCTGAAAACAAAACATCCTCACTTATTTGCTCATCTCATCAGCAACATAACATGTTCCCAGCTGCCTTCAATCAACCTCTTCGCCGAAGCGTCACTCTCCAAGCAGACTCTGATCGAGCGACGACACAACCCTCGTCGCCACCAACCATCCAGCCAAGCGTCGAAGGCAGCGAATCTCCTCCCTTCTGTGATGACGAGATCCCACGCTCGATAGCAAATCACGCCTCCTCACCGGGCCTGTACCCCCTATCTCGCCAGGTGTTCAACCTCGAACGGAGAGAGCGCGAAGCACAACTCAACTGTACACGCTTGGAAGAAAAGTGTCGCGAGCTCAGCTTGGCCTTGGAGCGCATGAGAGAAGAGAAACATGACATGGAGGCCAGTTATGAGGCGAGATGCCAGCTTGTCGAAGCAAGAAAGACATGTGTTATTAAACAGCTGAAAAAGGAAAAAGACAAAGTCAAAGAGCTATGCGAGAAGAACGACGACCTCGTCATGGATCTCGCCGCTGCGTCCGAAAAGAACACCTACATCGAAAAAATGCTAGAGGAAAAGACCCACGAATCGTACGTATTTCGCTGCGCCTACAGAGTAGTCTTCAAGTGCAGCCTTTCTATCAAGGAGAAATGCTCTATATCCGGCGTTCTCAAACGCGTCATTGAGCGCTGCCAGGCCGAGAGACAGAGAGATATTGAGGCGCAAGCGGACCGAGACCGAGATCAGAAGGATGAAGAAGCGCAGCCTGAATCTTCTTTGTTTGTATCTTCCTCAAGCGTCGAAGCTGCTGCTGAAGCAGAAGATTTGAGCTTGGGCTTGTCGAGCCCCTCTTCTAGGCGGAAGAGACTACTAGAGAACCATGATGAGGATCAGGCTTCTAGCGAGGATTCAGACGATGACATGCCTCTGCTCGAAATCCGTAGGAAGAGAGCCAAAAGGTTCGAAGACGATATCAAGGTCTTGTGAGAAGACAGTATTTGTTATGTTGATGGCGCTCTCTTTCTTTTGGATTACCAGAACTTGGTGCCTCTGTACTTGGCTTAGGATGTATGATTAGATTTCTTCATTTTCATTCTACGGTGTTTATTTCCTTCTTATTGTTTCAGTAGTAACAGAGCATTGTTGAGCAAAATAGTTGATGAGCGATGGTTCCTAAGTCATTAGATCTTGATAGTGAAAGCTAAAGCACTCACTCTATACCAAGCTATATAATTTGCTTCTGTCAAAGAAAAGAAAAAGAAAAAAAGAAATAGCACAAACGGTTTAGCTATAAGGGCCGTAAGAGTCTTTTTTATGTTGCCACAAGTGCTTAGCAAAGCAGAAGGAAAAGAAAAACGAAGAACCAAAAAAAAAAAAGAACCAAGTTTGAGAACCAATTCATAGTCTCGCTAATAACCCCAAACGCCAATAAGTATTTTCCTTTGTGTTAATTAAAGCCCAAGTCTGTATACCATACCCATCCGGTTGCTAAACAAAGGAAACTGTAAGTTTAGTCGATCTTGTTTGATGATTACCGCTGGCTGTCATTTCCCGACCGGCCACTTGCAGCGCTCTCGCCAACCTTGACCTCTTCATCAGGGACTCCGATGCTCACGCCTCCAGCTAAGCTCGTCGAACTTTGTATAGCACGCTCGCGATCTCGGCCATGGCCGTAGATGCTCTCTCGGGGTCCCGCAATACTGACGCCACCACCCGGGGCCACGCTTGCGCTAGCTGTAGTGCTTGCGCTATCACTTCTATTGCGGCTTGCGTCGCTCGATCGTCTCTCACGGACGGTTCTTTCAAGCTCTCGAATGCGTCTCTTGAGCGCCTCATTCTCCTTCTTTGCGTTGTCCAGCTCTTGTCGGTAAAAGGCCGTCTCCTCGTATCGCAGCGTCGCGGGCATCAACCCAGGGCTCATCTGATCGCCCAAAACGGAGCTGCCGGGAGTAGCCACGACGGAGCTCATCATGATGGAATTAGAGGCGGCAGCCGGCACTCTCTGTTGATGAAAATAGTTGGACGGGTCTATAGAGCTGGCTGGTGCCGGCGATCCTGTTTGGCTTCGCCGCGAAGCACTGCTATTCTGCCGCGAGAGCGATGCGGGGTGGGGTGGCCGGGCGCGAGCGTCGTACGAGGAAACAAAGCTGGGGAAGGTCTGCGAAGTGGAAGAAGAGGTTCTGTGGTGGCGGCGTGCGGTAGGAATCGAGAACCCAGAGCCAGATAAAAGCGAAGATTCGACAATGGGATCATGGGAAGAGGTAGCGTTGGACGTCGAGGACGTGTTCGAAACGACAGACGCATTGTGGGCAGCACGCAAAATGGAGAGTTCACGAGTCAGACGATTCACCTGTCGATGGTCAGTCGATAGTCGCGCAACAAATGTTCACAGGCCAAGACATGTGAACCACAGCCATGGCTCATTCTTACCACTGCCTCCTGCTCCTTTTCCAGCTGCATATGAAGCTCGGAAGCCGTCAGCGGTCTTGGGTGTCGCAGAGGGCCCGGGCCTGGCCCGACTGCAGCATCTGCCGGGGGACTCATGGGCGACTGCGGCGGGAATCCGGGAGACGGCAAGGCTTGCGAGGGGATCTGCTGATTCACGGCGGCCTGGTTGGACGGCAGGATATTCACAGAGGTCGAAGACGGCGATGTTGCGGTTTGCAGATTGGCCGACTGGCGACGAGAATGCGTGCCGCTTGCCAGCACGTGAGGCGAAGGAGGGACGGAGTTTAGATCTGGCATCTTTGCTTGGTCTTGTACGAAGAGTATGGCTACGCCCTTTTCTGATGGTGTCCTCTGCGGCCTAGTCGAAAGTATGATGGGAAGTTAATCTCGTGTAAATGCGTCGTTCGGATCTCGTCTTCCGGGCGGCGGTGGCTGATGCGGGCCAAGCTGCTGCTGCGGCGCGAAGAGGAGCGCGAAGAGGAGCGAGAAGAGCCACCGGCAAACCGAGATTGAAGATGCGGTGTGTCGCAGCTGGACGAGGCAAGGTTGAGACAAAGAGAATGTCGGGATCCATCTGGATTTGGCGGTACGACGAAAGGCCCCCGTTGGCCGGTGTTTGGTGCGGGGTGAGTGGGAATATGGTGGGAATGGCCGCCGCGGGCACTAAAGCGTTACCCGATACGTCCGCTAAAGTACAGCTACTCGGCATGTGCTTGGCGGTGCTTAGGGGGGCTTGGTTGCCTGTGCTGCAAGCGGCGGGCTGACGACGGCTTAAACGTCTAGGTGGCCGTAGCAGATACTCGGTAGTACCCAAAGTTGATGGAGTATAAGCTCCATGGTGGTGTAGCACAAAAGTCTTTCGCATGATGAGAGAAGTGCGTGTTTAATCCATATGCAAAGTACCCCTGAGCATTAATGCAGCAAGGGGCTACATGCGCATGTCTTCACCAGGAGATTGTCTAATAACATGGAGCAGCCTCTCCCTGGCTACGGACTGAGACATGTCGCCCCATCAAGGGTTTGCTTGAGTATGGTCAGTATTTCTAGAAAATACAAACGCTTAGTATTTCCTCGATACTACAAAGTGGTATCAAGCTCTTGAACAATCTCCAACCTGTTTAGTAACTGCAAGTACTTGATTGCACAATGGAGCAGCACAATCTCACCATAGGTGCAATGCTCCGTGCTAATAAGGTTCAGGCACGCCGCATAGCTGTCGAGATGATCGGGCGTTATGGAGCAACAGAGGCAAAGAAAAGGCTCCAATTAAGCCAAAACTACGCTTTTATCTGTGAAGAAGCTCCATAATTGATCTAATCGATGGAATATAATCCACTATCTTATCGGTTTATCAGAACCGTTGTGCGACATCAACATGATGCAATCGTTTGTCGATGATGAGGGCGCTGACGTCAACGGCCGCTTTTAAGGAGCAACGAGCAGTCCAAGCTCTACTTAAGAAATCCATCATCGCTGCAAAGTCTAAATTTTCTCTAACAGCTTTTTCATCATCTCAATCAATCAATCAAAGCAATAATTCCACAAATTCATCATGCCTGAAGGTCGCCAGTCTCCTCCTCCTGAACGCCAATCCGGCCGCCAGCTTCAGGATCCCACCGGATCCGGCAAGGCATCAGATGCTACCAAAACCACTGAAACAGATCCTAACCATCAACTCGATGTAAGAGAGCATTAAACAATTCATATCATTGCTCATCAACAGATTCTAACCTTTTAATTGTCATTGGCAGTGTCTCTCATCGAACCCCAAAGGACCAATGGACGACGCACTTGAACACAAGTTTTCCAAGGGAGAAGGAAATTGTGAATCAAAATGAGGTCGCGCGAAATCTATAGACCCGCTACTAATCAGCCGCAGGGACTCCGCTCAATTCTTGAAGCAATGTCCGGTTGAAGGAGAGAAGGGGGAACAGAAGAGATTGGCATTTGTACAATATTTCATTTCATTTCATTGCATCAACTATCTGCGTCGTTAAATCTATCTTATGCCCGTTGAATCGAAGCCGTAAAACTTGTCATATACCATTTGAATTCAACATGACTAGTTGAAGCAGGGAAAGGGAAAAAAAAAGGAGAGATTCGCATTGTACAATATTGTATTGCATTTCATAGCATCAACTATTTGCGTCGCTAAACTATCCCACGCCAGTTGAATTGACCGTAAATCTCATATCAGAAACCCTCTGAAGCCAGAATAACAGGAACAAGTAATGTCAACTTAAAAATCATTAGGAATCATTTCATACAACAGGTTACAAATCCCTTAACCGCTCTTGGCATCAGTAGAAGATGTTGCAGCAGCAGGAGCAGCAGGCTTCTCCTCAGCAGACGTCTCCTTCGGCTTCTCAGCCTCCTTGCCAAACACCCTCTCCAAGCCAGCAGCCTTGTATGCGCTGCCGTGCTCTTCCGTCTTCAGATCAGCAAGCCGCCGCGCCTCGGAGTGGATATCCTGCACCTGTCTCGAGCCTTCGAGGTAGAACTGGGCAATCTTCTTGCCAGTGGGGGTGTTGGTGGCCTTTTCAAAGTAGCTGCTCAGGCCGCCAAAGAAGCTGCCGGCGCGCTGGGAGATGCCGTAGGTCTGGTCGGTAGTTCTGGCACGGTCGGTGGCCTGATACTTCTTGTCCATTTCCTGAATCTTGGTGAGGAATGTTGACGAGATGCCGTGCTTCTGGTCCAGCTCGATGGCGCGCTGGAGCGCTGCGTCGCCAACGACGTAGCCGTGCGCCAGGTACTCGGCAAGGATGCGAGAGCGGGGCTTCATCTCCTGGGTAATCTCGTCATTGTTGTTGTTGTTGCCCTGTCGAGCGAAGTGAGAGCCATCGTCTTCAGTATCGCCAGAGGCACTGGCGACTGTGATGTGGTTGGGGCCGAGCTGTGTGTTGTTGAGGAGAAGCGCCGTCTTCATGGCAGTCTCCTTCTCGAAAGTGACTTCTGCGCTTTTCGTCTCGCCCTCGGTGGTGACTTTGATATCGGTGATTTTGCCGCTGTGGAAAATGTTAGCTTGGATCTGCAGCGATTAGACTTAATAGAATGGGGAGACAAACCAGAAGCTGAAGAAGTCCTTAATTTCAGAATCGCCTGTTGCGGCGGCAATGTTCTTGACGTTGACGGTGGTAGTCATTTTGGCTTTGGAAGCTTGGTTGTGATGGAGAGTTGTATAGGTATAGATAGTTAGTTATTAGGTGTTTGGAAGAGTCTTGGAAATAGAGACAGAATTTAGGAGAAAGAAGGGTGGCAATATATAACGCGTTTGGAGTGACCAGATCGTGATTTCAGCGCAAGCTCGCTATCGTAGCACCTTCTGGCAAGCTCGCCTTGTTTGAGGGGTGTAGGCGGGGCAATCTTGCGACGTCATCATGAAGAAGGGGGTGAGGCTAATGCGGTATGTGGCGGTGCCATCTGCGCTAAAGTCCCCACAGAAGCTCGTCGTGGCTCAGCACCGCGACTTGGATGACGTCTCGATCTGGGCCGACATGTGAAAGCTCGAGTCAGTCTGAATAGCGTTCGTGGGAGAAGAT